CTTTTTTCCTTTTTAAAATTTTGCTCCAGATCAATCATAAGTACCCAGAAAGACGACTCCTGGTGGCTGAATCCTGTGGAGCATTAGCGCCTTACCTTCCTGTAAGAATTGACATTCTCCCTTTAAGATTTTATTTATTAGGATAATCGAGAAAACATTTTTTAAGTGTCTTGTGCATTTTAATTCAAATTCTATTAAACCAAGCTGTTCTAAAAAAGGAAAAAGATGAGCGAAAAGAAAAAGTCCCACATTGCCAAAGACAGGCCCTTGCTGCATACAGACGGGCACCTTGCCTGTGATTTCGCATCTGTATAAATATAGTCAAGGAGCCCTTGGTATTTTACACATTGGACTGTTGACTGAATGGTTGGCAGTTCAGAACCACCAGCTGTCTGCTGGAGAAAGATGAGGTTTTCTACTCCAGTGAAGTATTACTGTCTTGGATACACAGAGTTCCACCCTGTCCTATGGGGTTTCTTTGAGTCAGCATCAACTTGAAAGCATTAGGTTTGGTTTTTTGAATTTGGTAAATATAGCCACGTCACGTGTACAGCAGTTCTCAAGCATGATTTACAGACCCAAGGAAGTTACTGGAATCCTTTCAAAAGGGCCCATGAGGTAAATATCATTTGTACAATAACATAACAATAACATGGTTTTTGTCTTCCTTTTACCACATCGACTTTGTACTGTTGTCCCAAAGCTGCTGTTAGATTCATATGAAGCAAAAGAATGCCACCCACTTGGACTAACAGTGATTGTATCCTTCACTACCAGGCTCTGATAGAGAAAGAAAAGGCCATTCCACTTCAAAATGAGCTGGATATACTGGTTCTGCAGCTTGGTCCTTCAATGTTCCCCTCTTCCGTGTGGCACAATGCAAAGTACTCCTAGAAAGCCCGGTTGCCTCACGCTGAAAGTACAGTGGTTATCTCCAGGAAAAGCACTTTCGTGGGATTTAAATTGTTTAAATTATCAGCTGAACTAGCAAGTTGTTGTTTTTCCATGAGATACAGATTTCACTTGGAAGAACAACTGAAAACAAACTTGTGGTTACTGGGGCTTGGGTATCTGGCAGACATTTTCAAGAAAAATTAATGAAAGAGCTTGTCCAAGAAAAGCACGTCAGTATTTATTGCTCAGGAATAAATTGGAGCTTGTAAGTGAGAACCCTACTTCTAGAATCTCCTGCCATCACGAGCTTGATAGCTTCAAAGCCTGCAAAGAATTTTCTGGTGGCATCAGTGGTAACATTCATGAGTGTGAATTTTTTTTAACTATTCTATCATGAAATACACTATTATTGAAGTAAGATCTGCATAACTCTGGCTCAGTATTTGCCAGGTGACCACTGCATGATGTTCAAAGCATGCATGGGTGAAATAAGACGTTCAAAGTGCAAGATAGACTGATGGGATTTAATGTATCAGAGTGTGGAAAGCTCATTATTAATGAACTGTGTCATAGTTCAAATTCCACGTTGCAACTAAGCTTTACGAAACTACCCCTTGTCAAGTTTTGTTATAAAAACAAAGTAAAACATATAATCTGGCTGGAATATTCTTCCATTTACCAACTATAAGTTTCTTAAGGTTCTTACAGCCAGATTTAAATGCCTCAACCCACGCAAGATATCACAGTAAATTGGCAGATAAGAGTCTACCTGTTTGTCAGTTAGACATTACAAGGATTTGCCCCCAAAAAATGAAACAGTGTCATTCTCATTGATTTTTTGAGTTACTTTTCATTAAAATGTTGCATTAGCATTTAATAAGTTGTTATTGTTAAATGAATTGGTAAATAAAATACTTTGAAATTTTCTTATATAATAAATGTCAGTAAATGTTATCCACGCTAAAAAATCAGTTGAGGGTGCTCAATTTTTCAAAAATTACTGGCACCAAAAGTTGAGGATCACTAGAGCTGTTATTCCCTAAGAAGTAGCTGTCTTTTAATAGATCCAGGACTTAGGAGAGATGGAGGGATGTGGTAGCATTACAATTATTTTAATTTAAAGAACTTGTTTTAGAGCAGAGCTTCTATCCCCTGATCTTTTCTTATAATTAAGTTTTATTGGAACACAGCCATGCCCACTTGCCTGTGCTTTCTGTGACTCCAAAAGTCAAGACTGTCAAACCCCAGGCCATCAAGTGGATTCCAGCTCACAGCAACACTGTACAGGGTTTCTCCGACACTGTAACTCTTTACAGTAGCAGACAGCTTCATCTTTCTCTTGTCCAATGGCTAATGATTTTGATACACCAGCCTTGTGCTTAGTAGCCCTAAGCCTATCCCACCACACCATCAGGACTCCCAGAACAGTGCTTTATGAAGACTGCCGATCCCTGCCATTAAAAGTGACTGCTTAGGAGCTGATACCAAGGGCTCAAGTAAAAGAAAAATGTTTTGAAAATGATGCAACAAATGTGCTTGACATGGATGGATGGATGAATGGATGGATGGATGGATGGTGATAAAAGCTGTATGAACTCCCAATAAAACGATTTTAAAAACAATAACTTTTTAAAGGTTGTTCTTAGAAGAAAATGTACCCCCCAAAATTAGCATTAACTATTAACTTCTTACTTTTTAGTGAAGTCTAATAAGCCAATAGTTAAATGATTAAGACAGGAATTTTTTAATTAAAATATCAAGGGAAAAAGAACAATACATAGTCCCACCTCCTACTAATAATTACTATTTTTAAATATTGTTAAAATAAATGTCCACACACAGCAGAAACGAACAAAGTAAAAATCAAAGGCTTTTTTTCTTTCCACTCTGCCCCACTGATCTCTAGTCACTCTCTCCAGGAGTATCCACTGTTATTTTCTAACTACTCTTCCCAGAAAATGAAAGTTTAAAGTTGCCCCAATTTAATTAAACTGTATACACTATTCAGTAGCCCCGTACCAGTATCTGAAGATAAGTATTGTTGACAGGCTCTTGGGTGGGTATCTGTTCATGTAAAATTTGTTCTCACACTGTTCATATTTCTGTGTCTGGCATTTCATATTTGGTCGGGGTTTTTTTAACTACTAAATTGACCCCAAGCAAATGACCCCATCCTAAATGTTTTCTTGGTTTTTTTGTGTCTTCACCAGAAGCTAGACAACTAGGCATGTTGAAATTAACCTTAGAGAAGACTAGCACCTATTGTTATGACCAATTTGCACATGCTTATTAGTTTGAGCATCTTGTTATCACGTCCCAAGATAGTAGTGAGTATCACTGTCAATGGATAAACATCTCCCATTGCTCCTGGAATAGTAAACAGTGAGTAATAGGCCCAACATTTCCTCGAGCGATCTGCTCTGGACGTGTACCTAACTGTAACTGGTAGCAGTAAGCCTCAGGACTTGAACAAAGCTTTGGTGTGACCATGGTTTATGTGGAGCCCGGCCACTCACCTGTACTTGTTGGGGCCCCTTGTGGCTAGGCTACTAAGACTAGTTACCACAACTGACATCAGTCTAGACTAAGGTGACCAGACGTCCCGCTTTTAGTGGGACAGTCCCGATTTTTAACAATTTTTCCTGTGTCCTGCGGTGTTTTTTAAAAGTCCCGATTTTTGGAAAGAATGCATGACAAGTAGAGTATACAGTTTTCGGCTGCCATGTAGCTATTTCGCCAGGATATGAGTTTTATCAATGGTGTCCTGCTTTACCAATGTTAAAATCTGGTCACCTTAGTCTAGACTTGTGAATAAAACAGCAGGACCTTGAACCAGCTCATATTGGTCCAATTATGTCAACAAAACAAAATCTGACCAGACCCAAATTTGAATAAAGTGGAACAGTAACTAGACCTGGAAAAATTACGAGTGGAAGCCCTGGAATGGGAAGCCTGGAAGAGGCCTGGTGAGCCCTTTCAGGAGCCTCAGGAGAGTGGAGGTGAGGAGCAAGACACACTGAGCGTGGTTCTCTCGGCTGCCATCCTTAGACAGGATGCTGCTGTTTTCTGAGAGGGTGATTAAGTGTCTAGCAGCTTCCACTTCATAGACCTCTTCCATTTCATTTATCTGTCCAAATCACCCATATTTTACAGAGGTGTTTCCATTTCATTTCCATGCCATCAGCCCTGACTGAGCCAGGAAGAACCGGTTCCACACTGGGGCAAACACCCAGAGGAAGCTGCTTTCCCTCTGTCTTAGTGCCTAAGCTAGCACTGAAGGGAAAGATACTAGGGAAGTTTTAAAGGCCGTTTTTAGCATAAAAGGATAAGTAAGCAAGTGGCTCTCCCAAAAGGCATATTTGTCAGCCTAAGTGTTCCAAAACATGCCACAATTGCATCCATTTTTGGATGCAATGTCAGAACAGAAACCATAGCTATCAAAAATGCCTGCCAATTCTTATTGTATACACCAAATCATGCTGTACATTTATAAATACGATCACATTGCTAGCTCTACTTTCTCTAGCCTATACCTATTTAAGGGACTGCAACAAGCTGAGATTTAACGAATTTCATAGATTGGTCCAATAGTAACAGCAGTGCCAACTACTATAGGAGGGAAATACATTTGTACATTGATAATTCTTTATCCTAAGCTCAGCTGTTAATAATGCTGACACACTGTTCAGCATAACTCTGGAACAAAGTGTGGGACATTAAGGACCCAGCAGTAAGGTAGAGCTCTCTCTTCTCATCTGTTTGGATTTTTTTTTTCTTCTCTTTAAAAAAGGGGAGCATGGAGCAGTCCTCCAGGTAAACCCCCAAGTAAATGTTTCCCCACAACAGGATGGCCACAGTGATTGTTGTAATCCCTCCTGCTCTAGCTCAGCGCTCTGCTCCAAGATGAAGTGATGGCAGTACAAGAGCCATTGCTCTCGTATTGATAGGCTTGATTTGCCAAAGAATCCACTTGAAGAGTCCGAGGGCTTTGTACATATTTAGTAAAAATATAAAAATAAGCTAGGAGAGTAATATCAAGCTTAGAGTAGCTATTGTTGCATCAAGGAACGGGATGGAGGAAGGAGGGGTTAAGGAGAAAGTTAGTGTAAAGAATGTTAGTCTCGTCTGCATCGTAAATTCAGAAGTGTCATTTCTGAAATTTCCTGCTTGTGATGTAATTAATGGTAACGCATGTTCGTAATTATTTTCAGAAAGAAATTCGTAGCTCCTTGGTTCTTTCAATGTTGCAACAGATGTTAATGGAAGATAAGGCCGATTTGGTACGAGAAGCTGTGATCAAAAGCCTGGGTATCATTATGGGATACATTGACGATTCGGACAAGTATCAACAGGTCAGTTTTTCAGCGGTTAACCCTTTATAAAAACAGCTTGTCCCCAATCTCAGCTCCAGATACCTTCTATCTTTGGTATGCCAACTTTAGAATCAGTTGGAGAAGACTTCCAGGTTTCAGAGGAAAGAATGCATGGCTGATTTACAGACCCTGCCATAGCCCCACAGCAGACAGTTGGCAGCAAGCCCCTCATGTTTATGGGACTCACTGGCTGACACTTCACTTCCACCGAGCAAACCTAGGTTCTTTCCTCTACCAGGGCACCTCATGTGCAGCCATCAGCTGTCTGTCAGTAGAGGCATACGTGTTGTTGTAATGCTAAGCAGGCTCACTTGAGTTTACAGACTAACGGAAAACTCTGGCTACCTACTTTGAAAATCACGCCGTGAAAACCCCCTGGGTCCCTACTATCCAATAATATGCCTGTGTTTGATGCACCTTTCGGGTTTGCTAATCAATGAGTACATACCATTTTCTTTAAAGAAACCAGGCTGGGTAGGATCATGGGTGGCTTGCTTTCTTGCTCAGTAATATTTATTAAATTTACTGCAGTAGATATTTATTACTTAATATTGAAACCCAAAGCAAAACTCATAGCCATCAAGCCATTTCCAACTCATAGTAACAACCCTGGTAGGCGCAGTAAAACTGTCCCATAGGGTTTCCAAAGGTGTAAATCTTTACAAAAGTACACAGTCACATCTTCCGTGGGGCTGCTTAACCACTACACCACCAGGGCCCCTTTTTAGAGCACTCTCCAACCTCAACCCCAACAAATCCTACCACAAATCAATTCCAACACAATGGTCCTATAGAACTGCCCCATGGGGTTTCCGAGGCAGTAAATCTTTAAAGGAACAGACCGCGCCCTTTTGTTCCTGTGGAGCAGCCGGTTGAAGCACCACCCTTTAGCACCTGCACCACCAACACCCCTTTACTTACTACCCTGCTTCCCCCAAAATAAGACATCCCCCAGAAATAAGGCCCTCCGAAGCTACCGTAACTCTGTGGACTCTGGACCGTAGGGGTGGGTGCCGCCGCGCAGCTCACTTGGCCGCAGCGCAGCCAGAGCAGACAGGAAGTGCGAGGTCTCTTAAAAAATAAACGTGTACCGTATTTTTCTTCGTGGAAAAATAAGACATCCTTTCAAGACCTAGCGCATATTTGGGAACAAAAATTAATATAAGACGGTCTTATTTTGGGGGAAACGGTATTATGCTTTTAAAAAGTCTATTCTTTTAAAAATCCACCTTTTACCTGTGTTTGCTTTCGGCAGGGTTTTGAGTTGTTGCTTTCAGCCTTGGGTGATCCCTCAGAAAGAGTCGTCAGTGCAACACATCAAGTGTTTTTACCAGCGTATGCGGCCTGGACTACCGAGCTGGGCAACTTACAGTCGCATCTCATACCCACACTGCTGAATAAAATTGAGAAACTTCTCAGGGTAAGGCCTTCCTTTATTTATATCACTTAGAGCCATTTGAAAGGTCTGTTCTAAGTCGTGTTGGAAGAATGTTGGGAACTGGAAGACTGTAGGGACAAGAAAGTATGTCTTAATTGAACCTTCTAATAAATAACAGCTAAAGATTGGTTGATTTGGAGCCCACAGAGAGATTTAAGGAAGTTTGCTTTAGTGAAGCAGAGATAGTAATACAATGTGAGTTTCTTAGCTGAATTAGCACCTTTTAGAATTAACTGGTCCATTATTCAGAAACCCAGTTCTTCCTGGGCTCTTCTGAGGTCTTAAATATTTTATTTACATTATCAGCTCTAGTTCCCAGAACAGAGATTATGAAAGTATGACTTTCTAAAGCCTTCTTAGTTATAAGATGTCAGAATTGTTTTATTTCACTGTAATATTTTATTCCCTTGCTCTTTATTTCAACTCCAAGTCTTTTTTAAAAATTGTGTGGTAAAATATACATAACATAATTTTTCCCCACGGTTAGTTAATTAACTGTATTTAATTGTGCAATCCATAGCATTAAGCATTCCCTTGCTTTTTAGGATGAATTTTTCATTTTTTTCCAACTGAAAACATTGAAGAGTTGAAGAAATGATAGGAAATTCCTAATCTTATTTTTATACTAAAAGTTTTAGAAGCCAACAGAGAAATCAACATTTCTTTAATGCCTACTATGTGCCATTTAGGCTTTAGGTGGAAAATCTCATATTTCATTCTCATAGCCCTTTATATTATATTCTGGGAGGTTTTATTAGTAGAGATTAAGAGATGGTGATTAAGTGCCCTACAGCAAGGTCCTACAGCTGTTGCATGACAGAACTAGCATCTGATAGAGTTCTCTGACTTCCAGCGGTCTCTCTCTCTACTCCAGGATTTTAAAGGCGTTTACATAAAGCATCGAAGCCTTTTTACAGATGACATAGTAGCCAGACGTACTGTATATACTCATGAACAAGCTGAGTTTTTCAGCACGTTTTTAATGCAGTTTTTGTGGTAAAATTAGGTGCCTCGGCTGATATTTGGGTCAGCTTATACTCGAGTATATACGGTATTTACTTTGTGAAAAATTTAAGCTGTTCTATAAATTTCAAAGTGAATATTTTTTGAAAATGTAGACAACTACAGTAAAGTATCCATTTTTACTCAACATACTTTGAACATATCAAGAAAGACAAATAGTTAGAACAGAACATCTTGTTTGATGGACCGGCTTCTCAGTGAAAATGGGAGAACCACTCTGACAGAATAGCTGCAACCATGACCCTCTCCACATCAGGAGGAGGATGCAGAAGAGGGCAACAGGTTGTGCTGCCATACATCAGATGGCCATGAGGCGGACCAGCACAACAGAACATCCCTTTTTAACCAAGAAACTTGCTAAAGCATATTTATTTAAGTGTTTGCTTCTCTTGGATCTGAAAATGATACTGCTTTTTGAGTTCTCTGTCATGTAATTCCATATTACTGCCACAAATAGCTGCAGTGTTCAGCATAGAAAATAGTGCTTATATTAAGAAAATTTAAAACTTCGTAATAAATAACTCATCTATGAAATTATGACAGCCTTTTTTTTTATAATGTAGTAATGACATTGATCGTGGATTTGAATAGCGATGAATATATTATTCTCTAGTGAGTTTCCCTTTCCTGCTGCGTTTCTGTGTATCGTACTGGTGCCTTTGCTTTTTGCTTTCTATCTTTCTTTTGCTTCCTCTCTTACATTTTTTCTACATGCTGAATTATTTTAAAATTCTTTCAAGCCGGTAAGTGCAAATATAGCCAAATCTTGAAGGGAGATAGGAAGTTAGGGGAGGAGAAGGTGCCTGGACTGTGCTGCTGTAACTGTTGGGTTTTCGTTTGTAATACCTGTGCCTCGTGTTAGCATCTGAACTTGACTTAGAACATTTCATAAATAAGATCCTTGCAAAATCAAAGAAGAAAAAACTTGTAAAAGATGGTTCCTGTAAGTGGAAATGACTGAAGTTCATTAAAAATTTTTCCATATAGAAGATTACGTCATGACAATGCCGCCTCAGTACTTCTTCCTATTTTCACATACTTAGAGAAACTAAGGAAAGATTCGTGAACACTTCCCTGAGCAGTTAAGCTGTGGGTCCTGGAATGTTTTGTCATTTGCTACACAAAAGGAGAAGCTCGTAAGTACAATTGGCAGTATTATTACAAGAGACTCAAGTGAGCGTCCCCCGCTTCTGTTTCAGGAAGGCGAGCATGGGTTGGACGAACATAAGCTCCACATGTTCCTTTCTGCTTTGCAGTCCTTGATCCCGTCACTCTTCGCGCTCGTGCTCCAGAACGCACCTTTCGCAAGCAAAGCCAGGCTTCATGGTGAAGTGCCACAGATAGAAGGTACTGCATGGAAGATGTGGGAGGGCGGGGCAGACTATGAATGCTGAAATTACCAAAGGCTGTTTTATTGAAACTGTAAAAATCAGTTTGTGTCAGCATTATTACTATGGTGTAGTGTTATAGGTGTGGAATATTGAGTCATAAGTGTATACTATCTAAAGTAAACTATTTATTTTATGATACCTGTACTTTGCTTCAATTTTTAATCTATAGCAGTGTTTACCAAACTGGGTGATACTGCTCCCTGGAGGGCACTGGGATGACACAGGGGGACTGCCAAAGTAGATAGCTACACTTTATCCTGGATTATGGGCTAACAATAGTACAAAAGGTTTTTTGTTGAGCAACTTTATTTCCCTGAAAAGATGGTGTAGGCCAAGTAAGTTTGGGAGCCTCTGATCTTATCTGTAGGCACGATGGTGCCATTGAAGTTGTTTTTTTGTCAAGGGCTGGAATAAATATTTCCTTTCATAAATAGCTCTGACTAAATGAAAATATTCACTTAAATGTTACTGGTGTTAGTATATCAGTCTTATCACTTCCACTTTCTCTGTATTTTCTCCTCCTCCACTCTTTCATGAAATGCAATTACTTTTTCCTACTACATGTTTGGTAGACAGGACGGTAAATATATGTGAATGATTTTTTACCAAATATTCCCCACGTACCAAAGTATGTTTTATTTATAGAAATTTATTTATAGAAATCCATGAAGTTGATAGGTAGCAGAGACTAGTTCTTTCTTACCTCTCTGCCTTACAAATAAGCAACCCTCGATAGGCAGCACACCATACCTGACCCTCAAGAGAAATGGCTATAGACAAGTTGTCATTGTGCTTGAGGCTGTGTTTGTTAGATTTGTTACATTATCCAGGCCCCTTCCTGGATTCCAATAGACAGTGCATTGTAACCTGGAGAGCCTCCCATAAGTCCATTGTCCATTGCCATCTATTTGATTCCCATGCATGTAGGGCAAAACTGCCTCATCTTTCATACACGCACTATCACCGCTGCCACCATGGCTCCTTATTGAGAGCATCAGCAACCCTTCTTGGGTTACCTGCAACCTGCAACCTTTGAGATTAAAGCATTGTGTCCAAGGATGCATGAAGCCACAAGATAGATTTGGCATGTACTACTGGAATGCCAGTTCTGTTTGAAGAACTGAGAGTAGCTGGGTTGGATGAGTTTAATATTTTAAAATAATATTGAAGGGAATGGAAGTTCAAACATTTAGGATATTTCACAAATAACGCACAACTCCTCACGACTTTAGTTTCAATTCCTTTAATCATGAAGGCCCTTCATGTGCCTAGAGATTGTCCTTTTTCTACTCTGCTATCATTAGTTTGTTTACTTATCAAATCATTATGGAATGTCATCTGCTGCCAAGCACTGTACACCCACTCCTCCACTCCTCCTTCATCTACATGGTTAGTGTGTTAGTCTAGGCCCTATAGAGAAACAAATTCACAGCAACTCATGTATAAGAGAGAGTTTTATAGAAAGGTTAAGTGCGCATCAAGAAAACAGCCCAGCCCAGTGCTGCCCAAGCCCACGAGTCCAACATTAACCCGTTAACCCATATGTCCAACACCAATCCACAAAGTCCTCCTCCATCTCACAAAACAGACACAATGATGCCGACTGCAGGAGGAAAGGCAAGTCAGTGAATGTGTAAATATCTCAGCACTGGCAGGGGTGTCTCCACACGGGTGCTCCAGCACCCAGGGCTGCATCGGGGTAGGTCCATGTGGTTTCTCCTCAGGGATGTCTTGCAGGAAGTGAGTGTTGCCAGCTAAAGCAGGGAACTGGCTAAGGCAGCTGCACCCTGGTCTGACCATCACAAAGCAAGAGACCCGAGAACTAGAAAGGCGAGGCTCACCGAGCCATTTATCCCTCCGCCTTTCAATTAACCCCACATGTGTTTATTGGCCACATTGGCACTATAAACTAACTACCTCAGTTAAGTTCCAAAGACCAGATTGTTATGTAGATTTTTGGCATTATGTGAAAGTGAACCACATCAAATGACAAAATGGGAGATGTCATCATCATATAGCTGGATTTTCCCAGAAATTTGTATCTGTTTAATTCTTTAGCTCATAGTGCAAGAGAAAACAAACTAAACCCAGTGCCATCAAGTCAATTCCAACTCATAGTGACTCTCTGTAGACGAGATGAGAGGTTCTGAGCCAGTGTATCTTTATGGGAGCTGACAGCCACATCTTTCTCCCACAGAGAAGCTGGTGGGCTTGAACCATTAACTTTGTGGTTTGCAGCCCTATGCTTAGCCCATAGGACCATCAGGGCTCCTTCATATAGCAAGGGATAACCTTTATTTTTTCCCCTATATTGTTAAAATTGTGCAAAGTGGGAAGACAGTAATAATATGCTAGTTTTGTCTCTTGCTGAGCATTTTTGAAATTAGGTGCTTGTTCAAATTCTTTCATGCTTAATTACTATCATTAAGCCATTAATCCCTTCAAGAAAAATGCTGCATGCTTATATATGCCTCTGAGGGTTGTTGCTTTTATGTAGAAATTGTTGGTCTATTGGTACTTTCTTTGACTTGTATTAGTTGAGCTGTTAGTTCCTTCTTTTGCCTAATGATCAGTTAGTGTGCTTTATTGTTTACTAGCCATCCTGAAAGTGTCTCCATCTTATGAAAAACTTGTACCATAGCCCATATTCCACATTTTGCAGCACCCCCACTCCCCCTCCCCAGTCATTTCCTGGTAGCATAGGGGCTTACGCATTGGGTTGCTAACCACAAGGTCAGCAGTTTGAAACTCTTAGCTGCCCCACAGGAGAAAGATCAGTCTTTCTACTCCTGTAAAGAATTCGTTTCCAAAACCTACAGGGGCAGGTTTACCCTGGCCTATAAGGTCTCTTTGAATTGGCATCAACCCTATGGCAGTGAGTTCAGTTTGGAATGATTCCAGCAACCCACAGGGGGCAGTATCACCCACTGTGGGAAACATTGCTGTAGAATCTAATTACTATCTATTAAAGATCATAGATCTATCTATAGGATCAAAAATTTAAAAGAAAATGTATGCTATAAAATGCAGTGATAGTCATGTTTTATTTGCATAGTTTTGGAAGTAAATTACAAAACAAATTTTTCCCTGACCTTTAAAAATGGGGCCCTAGGTGTAACACTTACAGTGTACCTTTCATTATATTATACATCACTGGTTTTAACCTATTTTAACTTATCAAACAAAGGACTCTTTATAATATATTTGATATTGGAGATTAAACACAAAATGAAGACATTTTGGCTCCAGCTTTTATTGTATTTTCTATCATTCTCAAATATGAAAGATAGTTTTGTCTCTGTTAATCTACTAATATCGTATTCCTTGAATAAAAAATTTTATCCTTTTTACTTTTTCATTCAATGAGTAGTCTGACAGAATTTCAAATATTTTTATTTTTATCAAATTCATAGTTTAAGAGTTTTTTCTTTGGGCTAATTTTTTAAATTGAATGTTATTCTTCATTATCAACTGTATCATTACAATGTGTGTTTTATTTGTAAAATTTGTTTGCAAATGGCCAGAGTTCAATATATTATCTGTATTCTAAAATATATCTGATTAATATGTATCAGGGTTTGTTTTTATTTTAATTTTTTTTAATTTATAATAAGAGACTAATCAGAAATTAGGGGAAAAGGCCTGTTCTCCATTTGACAGAATAGCTATGTTCTCAAGCTGGTGTTTCCAAGTCATTTATTTCACTTCTGTTGTTTGTAGTGACTAGGTTCCCTCGGCCTTTATCGCCTCTTCAAGATGTATCTACGATTATTGGAAGTCGTGAGCAATTAGCAGTGTTACTACAGCTTTATGATTACCAGTTGGAACATGAGGGTACAACCGGCTGGGAGAGTTTACTCTGGGTGGTTAATCAGTTGTAAGTTACCCTCTTCCGTACTCATTTGGTACATCTAATTCAGTTGAACAATAGCTGGAGCACTGAAGGATAAAATAATAACCAAAATTAACAAAATAGGACATGGCATTGTCTACAGTAAACTTCTCTTTAAGGAAAGGGGAGAAGAGGCCTACCAATGGATATGTCATTATTTATTTAGGGAGATGGTACTGCCATGTTATCTCAACAGAACTTCTCTCTTGGCAACCTGCATTGCTGTGGCGGGAGGGGTGCAAAGAAAATATTTGAACAAGTACACGCCCAGGTTTCGTGAGTTTTTTTAGGCTAAAATGGATGCCATGTTCTTTTTCTTAACTGGAAACGAATGTATAGATCTGAGCCTCGTTAACCTCAGACTCAGAACTGTAGCAGGAAACTTCCAGATACTATAGAGCAAACAGTTAAGCCTTGTTTTAAGAAATGTATAAACTGTAGTCTTAAATCATGTTAAAGAATTTAAAACAACTCCTTTGCTTCTAAATGTTGCTGGCTATACAGAAGGAAACAGAAGAGCTTGCTGAATTATATTGTTTCAGAAATTAGGAAGGAAACTATAATTTTATAAGTCCCCTCTGCCTGTTTTTCTTTCAGGTTGCCACAACTTATAGAAATAGTTGGCAAAATTAATGTTACTTCAAATGCCTGTGTCCATGAATTCTCTCGGTTTTTCTGGCGCCTTTGTAGGACCTTTGGCAAAATCTTTACAAACACTAAGGTAAATATTTGTGTCCCATGCTTTCCAATTTGCAGGAGATGGAAAAATGTAATGTGTTAAGTAATGCTGTAACAGTAAATAAAAGCACGAGACCTCCCTTTACTCTAATTAATTACCTTTTAATATTATAAAATACTATGGTAGTGGAATAAAAGTACAATTGGTTTTATTCATTTCTTTACTGATTATTATAAGATAATACAGCCTATACCTAGTTTGTACCAGACATGGAAAGAAAGAACTGTGCACTGTGGATCTCTCAAAAGATTTTCAGCTTAGGTGGTATCCACGTGAAAACCCATACAAGGTCCCTCAGATACATGACTGGTCCTTCACCCTCTACCAGAGGCTCAGGAAGCCGTTGTTGCCTTGGGACACTTTGGTCAGAACTCCAGGTGATCATTGGAACCCTTCCCCACAGGGAGCACTGCCTCTTAGAAATACATGAACTCTCAGGATAAATACAACATACTGTTTCCATCATTATCAGAAGTCTCACAGATCACAGTTGCATATACAGCTTATTTTGTAGTTTGGGATATTGTTAAGCCACTTGTTTTGTAGCATATTGGTAATCTAGAGACTTTAATAAAACTGTAGAAAAGTGATAGTTGCTATAATCAAACACGGATCAAGAAATTAGTACGTAGTGTTTCCCTTTATTACTAAATATGTAATTGTTGAAACATTTATAGCAATATAGTATACTACAGTTAGGAAAATTCCATAAGCCTTGAATTATGGACCTGTTATCTGCTAACTAATTGTTGGTGATCTTCAAAAAATAATCTGGGTATAATTTGCTCATTATGAAGTGGAAAATGACCTCAGTGTCTTTTTGTTCTATAATCATTAAGATTAATCCTTTAACAATGGACTAACCATTCAGTTTAAGTTGAATATGTAGATTTTAAGTATAATATTCCTGGCATAATTTTAAGAAGACAAAAAATAGTTTGATATTACTGTAGAAGAAATAAGATTATTTTGCACTTTCGCTAGAGTTTAATTTAGTTTTGCTGTTATGAAGACTGACAAGTACTTTTTGGCATATTCAAAAGAAGTAATCCAAAACCCACTGCCTTTGAGTAAGGAGATTCTGACTCATAGTGACCCTTTAGGGCACCCAGTATAGATGCTTCATAAGGGCTTCTAGGTTGCAGATGTCGCCTGGAGCAGTAAGCCTCTTATTTCTCCCAAAGAGCCGGTGCTGGCCTTGTGCTTAGCAGCCAAGTACATAAGCAACTGCTCCACTAGGGCTCCCCAAAAGAAGTACCAGTAATTGTCTTTTTTTTTTTTTTTTAAGAAAAGCAAATCAGAGCCCACAGATAGTATCTGGATGATATGATATGGTACCCTGAAATTTGTAGTAGCATCACTGATAAAAAATTGAAAAGTACTTGCTCAAACTTCAAATACTGAATTAAAAATCTGTCTGTGATATTGAATATTTTAAGAAAGTTTATTATAAAGATTAAGTCTTGTCATGAATATCACATAGTGAATACTTATGAAACACCCTAAGTTAATGGAATTTTCTCTTTATTTCTCTAAACCCAGTCAAATGTTTTCTCAATAATTCTAATCATATAATATCCATTTGAAGAACACTGTATATCACCTGACTACCCCCAAGATCGTGGAGCCCTGGTGGCACAGTGAGCTATGTGTTGGGCTGCTACCTGTAGGGTGTGTAGTGCGAACCCAGCAGCTGCTCCACTAAAGAAAAAGGAGACTCTCTACTCCCATAAATATTCACGGCCTCAAGAATCCACAGAGGCTACTTTGTCCTACAGTTTCCTTTGACTCGGAATCCACTCAGTGGCAGTGAGATTGGACCATCAAGTTCACTTTCAGGAGGTAGTACTTCCAAGCATTTATAATAATCTTGGAAATGATTTTAATAACTCTTCATCAGAAGCCTGTAGGTTAGGAATGATTCTATTTCTGGCCATCTGAATCAGTGTTCTGTAAAACAAAATTAATAGAGAGACTAGTAAGTAAGAAGCATTTTATTAATTTTATCATCAATGAGTCCATTGCACCCGAATCCTTTTTGAGTCTTTCTTTGGATTACTTAGGTAAAACCTCAATTCCAGGAGATTTTAAGACTTTCTGAAGAAAACATTGGTAAGTTATTCATTATAATGCTTAAAACAACTGAATTTTTTTGCCCAGCTTAGGGGAAATGCTATGTATGTTATATATAAGCTGTATAAGTACACTAGCAAGTACAATTGAAAAGAAAAGCATAATGGAGTCTTGGTTTAACAGCTGTGTCGCTTTTAATATCTTTCTTGTGCCACTTTTAATTTCTTTCTTCTGAAGAAGTCATGAGTTAATCCTTTAGTTTGATTATAACCTTAGTTGGTGGTTCAAACTTCAGGCCTACCCAACGTCTGTTTCCTCAGAAGAAAGACCAGACCGTCTGCTCTGTAAAGGTATCACAGCCAGTGAGGAGTTGACACAGTTCTACTCAAACCCTTCTAGCACATGCAAAGTGGAGGAATACTCCCTGATTAATTTCACGAAGCCGTGTAATCCCCATACCCAAACCAGGCAAAAACATCACTAGAAAAGAAAATTAAAGGTTATATCCCGCATAAATCCAGATCACAGGATTCTACATCATATTGAAAAACTACATCACAGTCAAGTGAGATTCATAACAAGGATGCAAGGATGTTTCCACATTAGAAAATCAGTCAACGTAGTTCACTACATATGTAAAGGAAAAGAATCACGTGGTCTCTAAATCTCATTGATTTAGAAAAGACATAAAATCCAACACACTTTCCTGATGAAGACACTCAGCAAATTGGAAGTCTAAAGGAAATCCCTCAACATAATCACGGTCATATTTGCAAATTCAACAACTAACATTGCTTTCAACCCAGGGAGATTGAGAGCACTTGCTTGAGAACAGAAACGAGACAAAGATGCTCCTTAACATGGCTCTCTTTTTATGTTCTGCTGGAAGTCCAGGCTGGAGCAAGAAAGGGAGTAAAGGCCATGGTACTTTGAAAGGAAGGAGTAAAACTCACCTAATTCACATGTGACATGACCCTCGATGTAGATTTCAACCAAAAAATCGCTGGAACGAATAGAAGGATTCAGTGAAGTAGCAGAACATAGATCAACACACAGAAATGAGTTGCATTGGGGGGAAGACTATGAAAAGGAAATCTAGAAATCAATACCATTTACAGTAGCTCCCAAAAGGATAAAGTACCCAGGACTAAACTTAACCAGGGACAGAGGAAACACATACAAGGAAAACAATAGCACCTTAAGAAACTAAAAGAAATCTGTGTAAATGAAAAAACATTTCATGGTCATGGGTGGGACTTACATTGTAAAAATGTCAATATTACCAAAAGCAATCTCAGCCCCACGCCCAACAACATTGTTTATTGAAATGGAAGACCTAATCTCTGATTTTACCCAGAAAGGAAAGAGGCCCTGCATAACTAAAGCAATATTAAAGAAGAAAAGCAAAGGTCAGAGACCTTAAACTTCCACATCTCAAAACTCACTGTTGAGCTACAGAATCTAAATAGCCTAGTCCCGGTTAAGTAACAGACTCATAGACCAGTAGAACAGGAATTGAGAGTGCAGAAGTAAATCGATTCAGTGACTAAAAGACAGTTTCTACAACAAATGGGGGTGGCAGATCTGGTTATCCATTTGTAGGAAAATAAAATGGGATCCATACCTCACACCATGAACAAAAACTAACTCATTTAACTGGATCAGTCCATCCTTTGGTCCCACTCTTGTGAAAAGTTAGGAATAGATATACACAGATAAATGTTTGTTGGTTACCAGGAATAGCAACGGGTGGGGTAAGGGAATCATTTTCTAGACAGTAAATACTTGTGGTTTTCTTCATGGGAAAGACAATACCAAATCAAGACCAAGTCTGTACACCTTGACCGGTGTCAATGAAGACACTAAGAAATACACAAGAAAAATAGATAATTAAATGTTTTAACATACTCAGTTTTGTAGTAATGATAATTATTTACAGTTACATAGGTAGAAGTATATACTGTATATATATATGTAGAAAGGCATAGATGAGAGTATATCATGTATCTATGAACTCAAACCATTCATTCATTGTAATCGACTTGATTCTGACACACACAGTGAGCCCTATAGAGCAGTGATTCTCAACCTGTGGGTCATGACCCCTTCACAGGAGTCGCCTGATTTATAACAGTAGCAAAATTACAGTTATGAAGTAGCATCAAAAATAATTTTATGGTTGGGGGGGTCACCACAACATGAGGAACTGTATCAAAGGGCCGCGGCATTAGGAAGGTTGAGAACCACTGAAATAACTCATGGAAATGGTTAGCTGCATTGAAGGGTTTAGGACCATGGTCTGTGGGATAACTGAATCCATTGGCATAACATAGCTGAGGTCTTAAAACTTGTAAGAACTATTTGTCTCTATTTATGTGAAGTAAAGAATAAAGGATACCAAATAATAAAGGATGAAAACAGTCCACAGAATTAATACCTTATACAAACTACCGCCTCTTCTAACCTTAGACTAAAAGAACTAGATGGTCTCCAGCTACCACTACCAACCATTCTCCCTGGGAACACAATAGAATGTCTTGGTTAGAATAGAGAAAATGTGTAGAACAAAATTCTAATTCATTAAAAAAAAAGAAAACAGATTTACTGGACTAATGTGGACTAGAGTACCCCTGAGATCTTTTTAGGTTAGAACTATAACCACTCCCAGAGGTCAATGTGCAGCTGAACAAAAGATTATTAAATTATAAAATAAACAGTATCACCTGTAATAGATGAGCCCAAACAGCCACTATTTAACTAAGCGAAGATGAGAAGGGAGGAAGGATAAATGAAAATAAGGCTAACAAAATGGAAATAATAAGAATTCTGATAAAATGTGAAAATTGCAACCAGTGTCACAGAGCAATTTGTATAAAAGTTATGTGAGAATCTAATTTACTGTGTAAAATAATCAACTTTTTTAAAAAGTGGAATTTTATTTTGAAAGATAGCTAAAGTATTATAAAATCAAGCAGCAGAGTTACAGCCAAGAAAATGGTATGAGGGCAGTTCTGCTCTGTCATGTGATCTTGCTATCAGTTGAAAGTTGACTGGTCAGCACCCACCAGCCTAACTTCACCACCACCACCTTCATGATAACTAAATTGACCTGACATTGAGCTTCTCAGACTAGGCACTTGTACCTGAGAGGATTGAAGTACTGACTATATTTATGATACTGGGAATTATAAAATAAACATGCATCTTGTTCAACATCTTGTTCATGTTTTATCATCGATTTAAAGCATTAAATCAAATTAAAAGATTATGGAAAAGAACACATGATATGCTGGAACCTTGTGTAAATGAAACATTACATTTCAAAGAAAGCACAGGCCTGAATGGGCATTGCCGCCCCAGTGGGACAGTTTTCACTCACACAAGGGCTACAGTGACAACACCAGTGGCATCAGGGCTGTATGGGTCTAGTGTCTGTGTTTTTTCAGTTTCTAGGAAGACATTGTGAATAATGTAAAAGAAAATAAACTCACGTATTTGCACCCCCTTTCATGATTGGTTGGCCGATTTTAAATGTGGAGATAATCCTTACTTCAGTGATTTAGCTTCAGGAGCTTAGAAAGCTGCTTTACTTTGGCCCTCTGGGAATAAATAACAATCAGCCTTCTTTTTTAATACTTGAAAACACTGATCAGATTTGTTTTGGATAAAGGCTTCTTCAAAGAATTCTAGATGCTTTTTGAAAATGTTTGAAATGTATTATCATTTCTGGAACTTTTTACAAGTCTATAGACGCTACATTAAAAAAAAAACAAAAAAACTTATGCTCACTCCCACAGGATCAGGGCTCTGGTTGGTTGAGAGCAGGCAGGAGGGGCTGGAGCTAGTTTTGGAAACTAGGTAATATCACTTATCTGCACACAGAAATAATGCCCACAAGCCCAATGCCTAGGCCCTTTACTGAGCACTGTAAACTAAAGCAGAAATGTTTAGAAATCCCATCTACACGGACCAAGGGTCCTGGGGCACATTTAGAGTCCTGATTTCTGTTTCTGGACATAAGAGCACACATTCCATCTCATTTGAGTGATTGAAGTTCTTCTCCATCTATTAGAAGTGTTTATGCAATTATGAAAAAATAATTTAGGCTGTGTTTTAACAACCAACAGAATTGTGGTTTTAATCCCCATATTTTCTAAAGTAATATTTACTTGTAAACCTGGTAAACAGTCATAATAATTGCATTGTGACTATTTCTGTTTGCATTCAAACTGACATATTGAGATTTTAAACTTTTTTTCTTTAACTGGCTGTAGATTCCTCAGCAGGAAATGGTGTCCTCACTAAAGCTACAGTCCCCATTTATGCGACAGGAGTCCTTACATGTTATATTCAGGTAAGAGAATGATTCCAGTTTGCCTGGAAAGCACTTTCTCTTTGGAACCATCTACTATTGGGTATATTTAGTGTATGTATATGTGACATTTTACCCATAAGCAGGGGGGGGATTGGTTTTTACGTGAGCAAATTGGAGTAGTAAGACCCTGAGTGAAACCTAGGTAGATGGAGACAGTTTTATTACAAGCGTTAGACCGCATTTGTGTAGCAGCGGTTGTATTCCTGATGAGGAGTGCTGGTGTCACGGCGCTAAAGCTTCTGGCTGCTCACCAGAACATTAGCAGCTTGCAGTAAACCAGCCTTCCCCTGGGAGAAAGATGTCGCCCGTCTTCTGTAAAGAGGGCAGCCTTGGAAACCCCATGAGGCAGTGCTACTGTGTCCTATGGGGTGCTATGAATCACAATCAAATCGATGGCAGCAAGTTGAATTGAGTTTGAGTGGTGTTTGTGATAACGTCTTAATGAAAAAAAGCAAATAGTACATGTGATGGAGGAAGCAAAATGCTGTAGAATATTTTATTTTTGGCAGGTACTTTTTAACTATTTTGTTAACTATTTAAACCACCCCAAAACATAATAGCTGACTGTCACCATTTTATTAACCCTTTAGCTTGCAGTCTGGGCTCTGCTCAGCTGGGCATCTCCTCCCTGGTTGAGCTGGTGGATTATCGGTGTGCTTCAGGCGGCTGGCTGGTCAGTGGGTACTCAACCTCTGCAAACGGCAGAGCTCCCCTCTCTTCACATGGCCTCCTGAACAGTAGAGCCAGCCATCTCACTGGCCTCCCAAGAGTACAAAAGCAGGATTGCCAACCCAAACTTTCCACCTGGAATTAGTACACTAGCACTTTTGCATTCTGCTGGTTAAAGCAGAGATTCAAATCAAATGGACGAGGAAGTAATCAAGAGATGTCGTTCATAGGTGACTGCCTATATGCCAGACTGCCATGCTCACTTCCCATTATTTTAAGTAAATAACACTAGGATGTGCAACAAGACATTTGGATTTTAAAATTATTGCAGCACATTCCTGAGGGAAAAAAAATCCCAGTTGATATTGGAACTTGTAAGAAGACCTTTTCCTTGGATTTAGACCTATGGAATTTCAGTTACCCCACACACACACACCAATTTACACTGTCTTTTTATAAGAGTGAGACAGTCACACTAGCAAGGTGAAAATAGGCTTCAGATTAAAGTCATTTTAGAAGTTAAAATGTACAACGGAAAAGGGAATACGTACTTCCATGATTTTTTGGTGTCTCCCACTGTAATAGGAGCCCTAGTGGCACTGTGGATAAGCACAGGGCTGCTGTGAGGTCCACAGTTCAAAGCCACTAGGCGCTTCAAAGGAGAAAAATGAGACTGTCTGTTCCTGCCTAGATTTACAGTCTTGGAAATTCTCTGAGGTTCACTATGACTCAGAATTGACTTGATGGCAGGGGCAGGGGCTTTGGGTAGGGTTTTTTTGTTTGTTTGTTTTAAATACAGTTTCTTACAGCGACCGTAACTAAGCACTACAAATCAGTGGCTTTTTAAGGATTGAAAAGAATCCTTTGGTGTGCTGTCATTACATGCTGGATTACTAGCCCAAAGGGTTGGCAGGTTGAATCCATCAAGAGGTGCATCAGGAGGAAGGCTTGGTGATTCACTTCCAGCTTGTTACAGCCATTGAACCAACCCTGTGGAACGCTGGTCTCAGAAACACCTGGGGCGCATTTTAAATTGTAATCAGCTTGAAAGCAACTGAAATAAGAACAGAAAGTTACTGCCTTACAGATTTCGAAGTGTCTAGTCCAAATGTAGGTGCCTGAGAGCCATGTTCTCTTAGAAACATCTAGCGCAGTGATTCTCAACCTTTCTGATGCTGCGACACTTTCATACAGTTCCTCGTGTTGTGGCAACCCCCAACCATCGGAAATAGGTGTTTTCCAATGGCCTTAGGCGACACCTGTGAAAGGGTCGTTTGACCCCCAAAAGGGTCGCGGACCCACAGGTTGAGAACCGCTGCTCTAGAGGAAACTCCTGCCTTGTCCTTTCCAGCTTGTCTCTCATGGTTCTTGCTTACTGCTGCTATTGTAGCATGCAAAACCAGTTGGCATATCCAGTCGTGCACTCCCACAAGGGGTTGCAGATCAGACCAGTGTGATTCATAGGAGTTTGGACTGGTTTGCAGAAGTTGTTTACTAGACTTTTCTTCCTAGTTCTAGTCTGAAAGATGTTATCTTAATTACGCACCAGCCTTCACTGATAAACAAGTAGTGGCTGTTAATTGTCCAGAATTGAACCCTGATCCCTACGTGGCTGTCAAGGCTTCTCCCACTGGCTACCAGTGCCGTCTGCTGTGACTTGCAGCTGCAGCAGAATTCTACCCGTCACATGGCTATCTTTCGCCTCTCATTCTTGCATTGCCTTTCCTCTTTTTTAAGAGCACCAGTTGACTTAGGACCCAGTTTACCTCAGCATGACCCTGTGTTAACTAATAACATCTTCCAAGACCCTGTTTCCAAGCGAGGCCATGTTAACAAGTACCAGGAGTTAGGCTTCATCATGCCATCTGGGGGACATTATTCTGTTCATTGTTGTTGGCTGCTGTCAAGCCCGTTCCAACTGTACAACAGAATGAAACACTGCCCGGTTCTGTACCATCCTCAAAATTGTTCTTAAGTTGGATCCCATTTTTGCAGCCAGTGTGTCAATACATCTCTTTCACCGCCCCTCTGCTTTACCAAGTACGATATCCTTTTCCAGGGATTGTTCTCTCCTGACCGCATGGCCAAATACTTGAAACAAAGTTTCCTCATCCTTTCTTCTAAGAAGCATTCTGGCTGTACTTCTTCTAAGACAGATTTGTTGGTTATTTGGACAGGCTAGACCTAAATATACTTTTGTTCTTTGAAATTCACGTACAGCTGCCTGGTCAGCTGGGGGACTCAACTAGGATAGTTAGGTTAAGTGAATAAATTCATATTTGTTGCACTCTTTTGCAAAATAGACTTCTGTCAACTTTTTTTGGATTGGGGGTTTACATATTTTGATTTGGAAATGTTTTAAAACAATGAAATGAAAATTTAGAGACACTGCCCATCATTAGCTTATTATTAAAGAGACACATGGAGATTATTTACATGATGAAAGACTTTAGAACTTTAGTGGATTGGGCAGCTTCACAGGATGCCATTTTAATAGTGGATTACTCAAGTCTGCATACTTCCCAAGAATGTTACCATCTCTAAATAAGAAATCATCCTTATCTAGCACTACTTTGGTGCCCCCAGATTCAGGGAGAAGAACCTTATCTCCAACTTTCACACTCACTGGCTGACTCTGTCCACTTCTTCCTTTCAAGCCGGACCCACAAGCTACTACTGTTGCTTGCAGGACATTTCCGTGATATTTTTCTGGAAGCAGAATGCCTTCTTTGGTGACTGCGGCACTCCTTTCCACCAATACTCAGTCACACAGGGGAAATAACTTTCTAAATGCCTGTCCGCCATGATGCCTGGGTGGCTGTAGCTCTCACTCCTCTCACACTACGCCACTGCAAGAAGAGACCCACAATCTGGTCCAAAGACACGTGAACATGGGAAAAGACTGGCCAGCGCACAGGTGCACTCAGCCCGGTCTGGCCCCGCCCTGCAAGACAGCCTTATTTTTTTTAAACGGACTGTACTTTAAACGTGTTGTACTGTGGTGGCTTGTGCATTGCTGTGTTTCTGGAAGCTGTGCCGTTGGTATGTCAAATACCTTTAGAGTCACCCATGGTGAACAGATTTCAATGGAGTTTCCAGACTAAGAGGCCAGGCCAAAGGAACAGGCAGTCTCCATTTCTTAGTGATTAGCCCCTGAAAACCTTATGAGATTAGTAGAGCACTCTCTGACCTAATATCAAAAGATGAACCCCTCGGGTTGGAAGGACACAGTGGTTGCAACAATGGCCTCAAACACAGTTGTGAGGATGGTTCAGGACTGCACAGTGTTGCACAAAAAGTAACCGCAAGCAGTAATTTCTGAGTGGATACCTCGGAAGATAAATGAACAAGTGGAGTTGGTGTATAGATATATGACCACATGCATAGATAGATTTGGCATTGGCTAGTTGTACATTCACATAAGTTTGTGCTGCAAATATATCCATGTATGTCTCATAAAGCAAAGGGGTGGAATGGTCAAGACAACTTCGTAACCATAACCGAATACCTAATGGGACTGTGTTACTACTAGATTTGAAGGCTAGGGTCCATAGTCTCGGGACATCTAAGTTACCCGACATAACATAGTACATAAAGAATATTATCTCCTACATTGACAAGTAGCAACTTGAATCTTAACGTTTACAAGTGGCCATCTTGGTCTCTTCCTGTCTGGAGCAAAGAGAAATACAGAAATCCAAAGGTTCAGAGAAACAATTAGCCTGAAGGGCTGGTGAACCGTGGAAACCACAGCCTCCTTCAGTATGAGGCCTGTTGAACTACATGGTGCCCAGCTTTTCCTACTGAGCATCAATATGGATCACAATTGAAGGTCCCTGACAGAGTTAGAGAAAAATGTGGAAGAAAATTCAAATTCATTAAAAAGATCAGACTTTCTGGTCTTAATAGACACTGATGGGGTTATGACTTTAGATTCCCTTGAAACTTTGAACTGAATGCACTCCTGGAAACCAGCCCATAGCCCCACAGGCAGACCTATAAAGTGAACAGTAACACCTCTGAGAAATGTGCTCCTGGAACATCAATTGAACTAGACCAAAAGAGCAGCGTTTGCCCCAAAGTAGCATTTAGAAGGCAAGAAGGCTAGACAAATGGGGAGAGAAGTGGGGAGGGGACGCTTGGAGGGGATTGCAACCAATGTTGCAAAATAAACTGTGAATTTGAGTAGAAAACTTGTTTTATAAACTTTCACCCAAATCACAATTAAAAAATTCAAAAAAACACAAGACAACAGAACCAAACCTACTGTCGTTTCCAAGGCTGTAAATCTTCGCAGAAGCAGACTGCTCTATCTTTCTCCCGTGGTGCCATTAATGGGCTTGAGCCTGGTCTTTAGTTTGACAACTGAATGCTTAAACCATTGTGCCACTAGGATTCTTTTGAAGATTAAAAAGAAAAGGACTTAAAAAACAAGAGATGTAACAATTTCTTTTAATAACATTATACGAGAAGATAACCCCCCAAATGGATTCCCCTCCCCCCCAAAGCTATGTATTTAAAAAAAGTTTTTAAACCTTTTCACCTTCAAAGTACTCTCCATTACACTTAATACATTTGTCAAACCTGTGATTCCATTCATGGAAACATTTTTCAAACTCATCAGTTTGGGTGGCTGACAGCACCTCCATTGTTTTTTTCTTCACCTACTCTATATCATCAAATCCTTTCATGTCCCTCTGCATTCATAGAAACAAAAAGAAGTTGTGCAGAGCCAGGTCAGGTGAGTAAGGTTCCTGGGGCAAGAGAGGCATGCTGGGTTTGTTTGGGTTTTTTGCCAAAAACTGGCACACTGAGATGGCTATGTGAGCAGGTGCATTATCATGGTGGCAAAACCAGTCCCCCATCTGCCACAAATCAGGCCTTTTTTGTTGCACACTATTATGCAATTGTTTCAGAACCTTTCAATAGAAAGCTTGATTAACCGTCTGACCTGGTGGAATGAACCCCACATGCACTACAAGTCGACATTTTCATCCTTTCGGGAAGTTGACTGATGTCCACAATGCGGTTTGTCATCAATTAATTGACATTCCACCTTGTTTGAAACAAGAAAATCACTCATACATACATTTGGGTTTTTCCCATAGAGCTGTCCTCATAAGCTGTGTTCAACCTCACAACAGTTTCTATGGCATTTTTCTCAAGCAAGAAACAAAATTTCATAGCCATACGTTGTTCTCTTAAATCGTCCATCCCCCAAAACAAGGTTCAGAGCAAAACTACTTTTACAAAAAAATTCACTGTGACCAGAAAGAACCATCCCAGGCAACGCCACTGGGTGCACTAACTCAAAGTGAATTGCGAGGTGCTTGCTTGCTGAGTGGGAAAAATGTGTACTAAGAAAGCTCCACCCCACCCGGCGCAATTCTCTTTTGGGGGGACACCTCCTCGTAGTTTATATTTCATCTCAGTCAGCATTTCTCATCACAAGGGTAATTTCTCACTGCAAAGATAATTTATTGGAAATCCATGTTCTGTGCTAAAGGTATCTTTTACTAGTCTGTAATTAACTTCTTAAAGCTAAAGTCCATGAAAATTAAAATTGGTTAAGTAAATTAGAGAGAGGACATATACTTTTGTGCTAAATCAGAGCTCATGAATAAAACTTTCTGCAGTGATGAAAATCTTTTACATCTGAGCTGTCCAAGAAGGGAGTCACCAATCACCTGTGACTGATTACAAGTAGTTGAAATTGTGGCTATTGAAACTAAGGAACTGGGGGAAAGATTCCTGAATAATTTTTATTTAAATATAAATATCCACATCAGTTTAGTGGCCACCCTATTGGACAGCTCGGTTCTAAACCAGAGCCAAGATATCCGTTGTCATCTTAACAATTTGATCATACATGTGCTTAGTAAATATCTTTGAACTAAAATAGCTTCCAAACTACGTATTTTCTTCTTAGTCACTAATGTTTTCTGATTTCAGGTAATTACAATTTTCAGTTCTACTTGGTTGCCCAGAAACTCATCATTCATCCCTTTCCTCTGTAGGAAGAAGACCGAAAGCTGCTAGTTGGATTCTTGGAAGATGTAATGACCCTGCTTTCATTATCTCATGCTCCTCTTGATAGCCTGAAGGCTTCTTTTGTGGAACTGGGGTAAAAATACAGTTTAGAGTTCTATAAAAGTTTATCATTTAGAATTATAGCATATAAGGATAACACAAATACTGCTCCTGAGGTTCCATTTTACACATGCACGAGTATTCCGAACACAGTGTGTTGAAGCATGGCTCTGTAGGCAGTGTGTGTCTGCAGAACAATTCTCTCAAGTCACTCCCTTAGCTTAGTCTTGTGAGAGTCCATTTTGAAAAAGGATACTTAAATGAAAGCATTGAACAAAAAGCTGATCTCCCCATAAGTCTATTAGAAGCTAATGAAGATCGTCTTAATGGAATGAAATGTAATTGGGGAGCAAGTCTTGGATTTACCAGAGAATAAGGTTCTGTCAGAACAGTGACTTCGAAGGAGATCTACTGGGCCAGTTCATTTCAAGGCAGGGAAGTCAGATCAGAGGGGCATGATGACTCTGGGGATTCTCACTGGGCAATCTTAATAGATGTTCTCAAAGGATATGGGACGGTTTGACGGGTTTGTTATGAAGAAGTTTAATGAAAATTGACAACTGCATTGGTGAGGAAAAGACCAGGAATGTTGTGCCACAGCTTTCTTTTTTCCCCATCACCACAGCGTACCTCCTTGCTCCCATCCACCCTACAGCCCTGATTTTGCCCCGTCGGACTTTTTGTTCCCCAAATGCAAAGATATTTAAGAGAACACGATTTGAGTTCATTGATGCCAAGACTACCATTTTGACATGGTATAAATCAGAGTACAAAATGTTTGGGGGAAGATTTGGGGCAGGGTTTCCCAAAGTGAGTAATACTGCCCCCTGGAGGGGTGCTGGAACAATCCAAAATAAAAACCAACTCACTGCCATTGAGTTCATTCAATACAAGTCCACTGACATACAAGGTGCCTTGTATGTCATGGTAGAAGTGCCCCTGTGAGTTTCCAAGACCTTTTATGGGAGTAGAAAGCCACATCATATTCCCACAGAGCAGCTGGTGCTTTCGAACTGCTAACCTTGTAGTTAGAGCCCAACGTGTAACCAAGAACTTTGTAGGAGGACTGCAAAAGCAGATCTACCTATACTTTATCCTGGATTCTGGGTTATAGCACAAACGTTTTTAACTGCCAGAGGTTACTGAGTAACAGTTTTTTTCTGAAAAGGGGAGACCAAATAAATGTGGGAACTTATGGGTTAGATATATGGAAACACCACCTACAAAAGTATGTAGACCTAGCTGGAAATTGTGTCAAAAAACATTAGCTTCATATATATATATATATATATTTTTTTTTTTTTAATAAAAGACTGATTTGGTAGCAATAAAATTTTCATTATTTTTCATATTTTAAGGCTAGAAGATTTGACATCTATACCAAATCTCTAGGTTTTGCCCTGGTGGCATAGTGGTTAAGGGTTGGACAGCGTCAGTTCAAAACCACCAACCTTCTGGTGGGAGAAAGAGGAGGCCTTCCACTCCCGTAAAGAGTTGCATTATCCGAAACCCACAAGGGAAGTTCTGTCCTGTCCCTGAGTTGCCCTGAGTTGGAATTGACTTAATGAAAGTGAATTTGTTTTGTTTTATGTTCTTGGATAAGCTGCATTATACTTGGGGGGGGGGGATTAATAGGGGGAAAGAAATTTGGAGAAGTTAAAATCAAGTATAAATTGGAGAAAAATTGAATTTTACAGAAAAGAAGCCCCCAAAGTGAAAGCCATCTCCTTAGGCTCCTTGTTTCACTCCTGTTTCTGTAGTCCTGCTTGTAACTGCATTCTCTGGTTGCGGGAGAAGTTTTTATTTCTCTCTTTACAGAATCTGCCCTCGTATATTTGATAATGAGGCTGTTTGACATCTGAATAGGCTCCCCAGCCAGAGGCTGAGTTGCTCCTAGCAGCCGGTGCCCCATCCGTGGCTTTTCTTTCTATTGCGCGGTGGGTTGCTGTGAGCCGGGAATGATGACACCAAACAGCAGCAACAATCTGACATCACAGGAAGTGTGTTGTTTGAACAGATGCAGAAATTAATGTCCACAATTTTGCCCGTTGCTTTTTCCTTTTATTTTTTTCCCAGAGGAATTTGGTTTTTCTATTTTGATCGTTTTAACTATTAAGCTACTAGAGTTGAAATTTCTAGCATAATTGTAAATGCTAGAGAAGTTAAAAGTGTAATTTCTGAATATGGTAAAGTACATGGTTTTACAAAGTGACTTGCTTTTTGCATAGAACATTATATACATAATTAATCTGTATATTCCCAATATTTTATCAATAATCATAAAAACAGTATTTTTAGATACACCATGAAGATATTGTACCCTTGATTTTTAACATTGACTTTTTTCTTCCAGTGCAAATCCTGCCTACCATGAGTTACTGTTAACAGTTTTGTGGTATGGTGTTGTCCATACTTCAGCACTTGTCAGGTGTACTGCTGCTAGAATGTTTGAGGTATGTAAACAAATGCTTCTCTTGGTTTAGATTATGATTTTCTTTGGAAAAGATAGAGGGAATCTTTTAAAAGGGGAAAAAACCCTACAAATCTTATGTGGCAGCATTCAACATTTTCTAGTTGTGTACTGGGATGTGGCAGAAATGTAATAATTTAACTTTATATACTTAAAAAATGCTTTCTAGTGATATTGGCTCCTGAATGTTCCTCTTTTGATTTTTCCTCTCATTTCGATCTTATGTAACTTTCTTTATCTGTGCCTTGTTGTTTAATGAAGTATATATAGCTAATGAAACAGTATAGGGTATCTTTTGAGTTGTAAAATATAATTGGATTCCTGAGTAGTATATTCTAAGTAATATTGTTAATACAGAAATACTTTAATTTCTTGATTTATGCTATTTTATTATTCCCTTACTATCATATCAGCCTTGTAAGAGAGTGAAGACTCTTCATATAACTTTCATTTGAGCACTGATGTGTGTTTAGATCAGTGGTTCTCAACTTTCCTAATGCTGTGATCCTTTAATACAGTTCCTCATGTTGTAGTGAAAACCATAAAATTGTTTTCATTGCTACTTCATAACTGTAATTTTGTTACTGTTATGAATTGGGTGACCCCCGTAAAAGGGTCGTTCCACCCCCAAAGGGGTCGCCACCCACAGGTTGAGAACCACTGGTGTAGAGCACTTCTTGCTATTAGGTCATGTAGTGGAGCCATATTGCCTGGTTCAGTCACCACCCACTCAGGGTCTTTATTGCTTAGGAACATACTGACTTGTCCTGATATACATTCCTTACCTAAGGAATGATGATAATAGTAATGAGTACTCATCTCAAAAGATTTTTTGTTAGTTAAAACAATGTCTGGCATGTAATTAGAGTTGATTAAATGTTAATTGTTCTGGTTGATCTTAGAGACTTTTCGCCCAAGTTATTGCTTCACAAAATAATAGCATAATGGTATTCATCCAACTTAAAATTGGCCATAGTATGCATACGATTCTTAAAACATCTAAAAATTTTATTCCTCCCAGAATTTCTCCCCAAATTAAGTTAAATTGCAGTTGGTATCATAGGATACTAACATTTTAAAATGTATGCCTTCTAAAACTTGTAGATCTATAAAAGGAAACTTCTAAATCGCAAAGGAAACTTTTGTTGCTGTCAGGCAGGAGGGTCCTTATTCCCTTAGTTACTATGCATATTTGAGGGTTTTTCTCCTTTTTAAATGATAAATCAAGTCAAGATGACTGCCCGGTCTAAAAGTTAATTTGCCGTTTAGTGCAGGTTCTACCAGGTTTACTGAAAGAGGGGTGTTCCCAGGAAAGAAAGCAGTCTGTATCCAGCCCTAGTCCCCCCCCCACCCCCCCTCAGGAGCTCTGCAACATAGTGGATTACAAGCTGCACTGCTAACTGCAAAGCCAGCCACTCTACAAGAGAAAGAGATGAGGCTTTCTGCTCTCATAAAGATTCACAACCTTGGAGACCCAGGAAGGCACTTGTCTGACCTATAGGGTCGCTTGAGTCAGAAACGACTCGATGGCAGTGAGCGAGATCTCCACACACATCCCCCAACAGGCATCCTTTTCAATGATGGGCTGTTTCTGTAGCACAGCCTCTTCTTAGAATTTTCTTCTGAGACCACAAGAGCTGTCTCTTTCTCTTCAACCCTGTTTCTGAAATGTATGTCTGTACTGGTGAGGCAGACCCTGGGAGTAAGTCTAGCGTACAGAAAGATGAATTGTTCTCCCTTTCTGCTTTTCGTTTTTGCCTTATTCCTTCTGTGTGGCTTTCACTGGTTTGGGTTTCTGTTTGCTGCCTGTGTCTGGAAACTAGGCCTGTGCTTTAGCAATTTCCAGTGGCCTCACAGGTTGAATGTGAACAGCTTAGTCTACTTTAGGAGATGTGTTTCCATATTTTTCAAAACCATTTATGACAAAAAATTGTCATAAAAGTGACACATGGGAAGAATCAAAGTTCCTTTTTTGTCAGTGATTTTTATACTTTAAAATTGTATTAAAATATAAATGAAATGTCTTGAAAAAATTCGTAATTATGGTTTACAATATTTCTTTTGTTACTGATACTGATATGTAGTGTTATGCCTGCTTCCTAAAGGATGAGTTCATTCTAAATAAAAACATACAAAACTAAGGCAAAAGAAGGAAAGAATAAAAAGAAAAAAGTAAGAAATATGGAGACCACTAAGGTCCGACGAAATAAGTACTGAAATTGAACATTAATTTAGCTGAGTTGCCAAGGACAGGAAGTTCCTAAGGGTATATTCAGTTGGTCATGTTTTTGTCATTGTTCAATAAAAGACAATACAGTGCTACTTTTTGAAGTAGCCGATTATTGGAAGTTTATTTATTTTTAAGAGAGCTTTATCATCTAACTGCTAGTGTGACTGAATGGATTTTTATAAAAAATTCAGAAAGGAGGTTCTTCGGATTTTCTTATGTTAGACATGAGGAAATAGAGGAGGTAGCAGCATATCACACCTCAAAGAAAACGTGGACTTTAGGCTCATGTAACTCAGTTTCTGATCTTGCTCTGCTACTACTACTGCCTATGAAACTCTGGCCAATTTACTTTGCTTCTCGTAGCCTCAGTTCCTTCATCTGTTAAAACATGGATAATAAGTGTACTTAACTTCATAAGGTTAGAAAGGTCTAGACATCAATTTTGTGTAAAATGCTTAGAAGCTTGTTGCTGTTGCTAAGTGCTAGTGCGTCAGCCATGGTGGCTCTGTGTACAGCAGAGCCAGCCACGACCCTGTCCTATAGCATCTTCACAATGGTTTTGTTTGAGCCCATTGTTGACGCCACTGCGTCTGTTCAACTCCTCAAGGGTCTTTCTCTGTTTCACTGTCCCTCTACCTTACCAAGCATGACGTCCTATTCCAGGGACTGGTCTCTCTTGATAACATAGCCAAAGTACTTGAGGTGAAATCTTGCCATTGAGCATGTAATCATTTGTAGTTCTTAAGTACATGCTTTGTTTCGTTTTCCACCTTACTGAAGTAAATTCAGAAAGACCAAAACAATAAGCATGGGTTGTGTTCCTTAAATTATCTGGCTTTTGTTTGTTTGTTTGGGTTAATAATTTTTGCTAAACCGAAATAGACATTTCAAGTAGACTTGACTGATTCAGATTTAAACTTTGTTATTCATAAAATGATACACACAGAAGAAAGTGTGTTTTTTTAATTAATCTAGGTAATAATAAATTTGGAGTATCAATAAAGAATAACACACCCAAATACTTTTATTGACAGTGAGACATTTGTCCTTCCCTGCCCCTGTTTCCTTCTACCCAACCTCTGTAATGAAAGTGCTGTTGTTGTTAAGTGGTAACCTCTTAAGCAAAGTGCTTATTGCTTCAGGGGCAGTCAATTCGGTCCTCACTTAGCACGACCCCCTAAGTGAAGCAGAGCTGCCCTATGCCGTTATGAAAGCAGCAGATCAAAGCCAATGGATGGGTTCACACAGCCAACCTTCGGGTAGCAGCTAGCCCTTAACCACTGCGCCGCAAAGCTCCATTGCAAAATTACAATATGTGTTCTCTGTGCTCGTGTCCTGTAGGAAGAATGTCTTAGCACGTGCACAGTGATGAGTTTTTGTTAGTAACAATCTCACGGCATCTTAGATTTCCTGTGCGGACTAGCTGCATTACCAGGTGAGCAGTCTGATTACAGTGTGCTTATGTTCTAAAATTGAGACTGTAAGATTAGAGGGGGGTTACCCTTCTCACGAATCTTTATAAAAAACAAAAGGCATTGGAATGATAGTACTATATATATTAAATCTCAACTAATAATTTTTAAAAGGCATGTTGTTTATTAGATTTCTGTCATAATATAGGGTTGATTGCAGAATTAATTATTTTTTATGTATGAGTTCTAGAGATACATCTATCTAAATTATAGACTTTGTGTTTGTTTTAAAATATATTTGTGCTTTTAGAGAAGTATATAACAAAACTATCCATAAAATGTCACCTTTGACCCAATCAAAAACTCTCAAACATTAAACAATGTCTTTTTCCCAAATACACCACAAAGCTCATGTGCTTGGAGTCGTCATGATAGTAACATAGTTATTATTTATTAAGGAGCTCTAGTGATGCAGCGGTTAAGCCCTCAGTTGCTAACCCAAAGGTCTGCAGTTCGAACCCACCAGCAGCTCTGCAGAGCAACGTGGCAGCCTGCTTCCATGAAGATTGCAGCCTTACAAATCCTGTGACTCACTATGAGTCAGAACCGCTGTGACATTGCATCATTTTCTGAGTGCACAGTCCTTGTCAGATGCCTTGTTAAGTGCAAGTTCATAGGATGGCAATCCTTGAAGGTAGATGAAAGCGCTACCATTTTCAGATGCCATGTACCTAAAGCCACTAGTGAATGGGCTAGTAACTGGGAAGCTGGCACCTGAGGCCAGCCAAGTCAGATTCCCAGTGTGGTACTCCTCCCCCACCCCCCCAAAACCAGGCTGCATTGTGTCTCTAAACCTCTAAAGAGAGCGCTCCTTGCTCTGAACTACTGAGGGTTGGCCCATGTGTCTGATCCTTTAACTTGCTATGGCACCATCACCAGCAGTTTCGTGGCAGCGTCTAGCCATTTGAGTTTGGTTAAAAACAGTCCAGTTTGGATCTTGTTGGTCATAGTCAAATCACCCCAGGCTGCCATGGAGACTTTTAACTGTAGAGCCCTGTTAAGTGCCTTCTTTTTAGCCCCTTAAAAAAAAACAGGCAGTGTCCTCTTTGGAAAAAACCTTCGTTTTCATGCCATTGGTGCAGACTATGACCAGAAGGACAAACTGCCACTGAATTGGCGACCCACTCGATTTTTGTAGACTGCTAGACTATTCAAGCTTTATTTTCCTCCTCAGCATTCTCTGCCTGTGTGAAGCACTCTAGTAGCAATATTTGCTTAGCTTCTAATTTTGGTTTTGCTTTGTTTTCTCTCTCTCGTGGTTGTGCCTATTTCCTTCCCACGGCACTGTCTGCCCTTTCCGTGCATCTCCCGTGACTCCCCCTGTGCCGACCAATCAGCTGTTGGTGAAGGGGGTGAATGAGACTCTGGTAGCTCAGAGGGTGGTTCCTGCTCTCATTACTCTCTCCAGTGACCCTGAAATGTAAGTGCCCTGCCTGCCTTTTACATTCAGCATCCCTTTCATAAGTTGTCTGTCAAGAAATAACCATCAGCTTTTAAACACAAAATTCCCAAAAAAGGAGCATTGGATTATGCGTTTTTAATTTTAAAACTAATCACGTTTAGTATTCACCTTAACTTTTTGTGAGCGGCAATCCACACAGTGTTCCTTATTTAGAAAACTATACGTTGAAGGGAAGAAAAAAGATAAAAATAATCCTAGACATCAATAAACACTTCCAAATTGGAAAACCTGCTGATGGTCTGTTTCTTTTAAGCCAAGAAGGGACGCTCTGCTAACCTCACTAACAGGTTGGATCCTAAGTGTAGTAGCATGAACCGGACACCTAACCTCTTCATGTCTCATGTGGGTGATGAACTAAGAAAGGCCAGTGAGTCTGCCTGCCCATCCTCAGTCACAGCTAACCCAGTTCTCATTCCAGTTTACCAAACCATTTTTTATTGCATGTTGACTGGTTTGCAGCTGACTCTTCGAGGCATGAGTGAAGCGTTAGTTGACAAGCGGGTTGCTCCGGCCCTTGTTACCTTGTCCAGTGATCCAGAATTGTGAGTTTCACAGACTGCGACCTTAAGTTATCCTGTCTGTCTTTATGAGCATTCTTCTTGGTTTGCTTTTTTTGTTTTTTGTTTTTAATTTTGTCATTGCTAGAGACTAATACAATATACTTATCCTGTACTTATTTTGGTATATATTTTAATAATAGTCACTTTTCATCCCAAAGAAAGTTTCAGTTTCTTAATTTTTTTCTATTCTACCAGCTCTGTCAGGATTGCCACAATTCCGGCCTTTGGCACCATTATGGAAACAGTTATTCAAAGAGAGGTAGGAAATTATTTAAATGGCTTTCTACATGGTCCTACGAGTACTGAGTGAATCCTGTCTTTTCATTTTCTCGTTAGTTGTGGGCCACAGGAGACTCGCTATTTGAAAACATGATAAACCTAACCACAAAGTGTTTCCATATCCTTGAGGACTGTCTAGTCATTCTTAATTAGAAAATCTGGTCTAACCCTCAGATGTTCTATTTTCAGCCAAGAAGGTCATTGCGCTTCTAATTGATCCTTCAAACTAGACCCAGCCCCAGAGCCCTCTTGCTGTCCAGTAGATTTTGAGGGCAGTCTACAGAACTTCCTGACGGCAGGCTTCACAGATTTGTAGGTGCCGATATATCTGTTTCACAGTACACTGGTAGCTGTGTCCTTCCGCTCAGGCTCTGGAAACCCTCTAGTGGACAGAGCAGGTCTCCCTGTGGAACCCTCCAGTGATGGCTTAGAGGAGGTCTCCAAGCTCTCCTCCTAAGATCCTATCTTGATTCTGAAACCGTGACGTCATTTCAGGATTGTTAAGTTCCATCAGCAACATAACTACCAGATATAGTTCAAAGTTGATAGACAATTCATTCTTTGTTATCAAATTATACGTGTCCTTACTAAAATGAGAAGCCCTATAGATTAGAAAATAAATTATTATTTATATTTTCTGGTCACTTCAACAAATAAACTAAGCTTTTCATTTGTCAGTGGACATGATGTTTTACCAAAAAGGGAAAACTATTTAAAATTTTTCCTCTGCCATAGAGAGTTAAGAATCACAAAAAAACTGTATGGATTATGGTAAGAGTTGTATGAGCCCCCAATAAAATGATTTTTTTATCATAAAAAACTAATTAATACAAAAATTAAACAACTGTGTCAGCAATAGAAAGAAATGTTCCCCATTTGTGCCCTGAAACACCTCACTGGTGAGGCAGCGTGGAAGAGCCGACACTCTGCAAAGCTTGCAGTCTTGGCAGAATTGCAACACGTTCTTGACTCCTAAAATAAAAATGCCTTTTAAGGAAATGTGAGTAAGATGTAACTCATTAATGACTCATTGCTTTCAGAAGGTGAATTATCTGTTAGCTTACACTGTGTTTTAACAATTGTAATTTAGTGACAGACTCATCATACTCTTATCTCCTTCTCTCTAAATATTGTGAAAGTTTCGCATTTGTTTTTGCAATTTATCAGGAAATATTTATATTTTCTAAGCTCTCCTCGCCCACCAAAAAAGAAAAAGGGAATCTTTAAGAATTCATAAGCATGCACAAAAGCGTGAAAGCTTTTTTGAACCCAGAAGATTAAATAATTACTTACGTCATTCCAAACTTCAAATATTCTGTTGATATAAATTGTTTGAATTCACAATCACAAGCCATGTTTAATGTGTACCTTTCCCTTTAAAAACTGTACTCATTTTTAATGTGTTACAAAATGACTTTATTGTTTAATTTTAAGTTGCTGGAAAGGGTGAAAATGCAGCTAGCATCTTTCTTGGAAGACCCTCAGTATCAAGACCAGCATTCTTTGCATACAGAGATCATAAAGACATTTGGGAGAGTTGGGCCAAATGCTGAACCCAGATTTCGAGATGAGTGTAAGTTACATTTACCTTTCTTTTTTCCTCTGAATTAATTATAAGATGAAAGTAAGAAGCCTTTCTGAGGATGTCAAGTGTTAGAATTGGGCTGTACTTTTATCTTTTAAAGGCTGAAAGTGAGACAAGTTGATTATTTGTAAATTGATCAATATTATCAGGGAGTGAATAATATGCTTTCTTATTCATCCTACCGATTGTTATAAGGCATAAAAGTCACTTTTTAAAACACATCTTATTATCTCTTAATTGTATTGCACAACCTCATACTTAGATCCTATTATCTAACTTTTAAAAAAATTTTGCTTCTACATGTTCTTTTTTAAATGTGTATTTTCCCCTACTTACCTTGCCATTAAGCTTTTGATACATCACTTTATGTTTTAGTCACAGCCTGTGGTTCTGCTACCTGATCCTCTGTCTAAAGCAGCGGTTCTCAAACTGTGGGTGGCGGTGGAATGACCACTTTCACAGGGGTCGCCTGATTCATAACAGCCGCAAACTTACAGTAATGAAGTAGCAACGAAAATGATTTTATGCTTAGGGGGTCACCACAACATGAGGAACTGTGTGTTACAGGGTCGAGGCATTAGGAAGGTTGAAAACCCCTGCTCTAAAGCAGGTTTTCTCATTTCTGTCGTGTCTTTTATACTTTGGTTCTTAACCTTTATGTGAACGTTTTCTTTGGGTAGCATGAAAACCTCCAGTGATTGTTGCTCCTAAAGTCCAACAGCTACTGCTATCTCTTCTAGCCCTTGTCTTTTCCGTGATTTCACTTGCTCTCCCAAGGGCCACAGCCTGGTTTCTAGTAAAAAATTGGATTCTCCAGCAAATGAGATACTGCATAGCCAGCCTAAAACTGTCTCTCTTCATTTTAAAGATTAAAATAACAACAACAACAACAAAAATAGTAAGTCAGGATTTGGACTATAATGTCTTCAAAGGTCTGTGCAGGTCATGGACACATAGTGAGCTACAGAAGCACAACTGTGCAATTCTTTTCCACTGGGTAAAAGGTGTTGAAATAACAATATTTGTAATTAGTTGGCCAACCAAGAGAAAAATTTTTGTTGTTTTAGTTAACAGGGAGAGTCCCAGATGTTGTAACATCAGATTTACAGGTGCTCCTAGTACAAGTTCTAAGGGTGCTTTCACTGTGTTGAGGCTGTAATAGTAATAGCTGTGAGGCAAGGAGAATAAACCTTGGCTCATGGATCAAGAAGCCATGGGCTAAATAGGCAATGAATCTTCAGTATACACCAGGTTGCTGAGTTAATACTGCTCCAGGGCATGATGCAGTGTCTTCATGTTCAGAGAAAAGAAAGATTGATGACATTCCAGGAAGGTTCAGTCTGGGTTGTTATAGGCTCTGCTCCAATTATTTCATTCTATCTATGGAGTCTTGTGCTCTAAAGAATTCTGGGGCCATAGTTGTTTTTCAAATCATACACAGTATGGATATTTTAGCATCTTTATCTAGAACTTCCAAGAACCACTAAAAATAATACTCTATTTTATTTGACAGTGTGATTTGCAGAGTACACGATCACCTATTATTAAATTTTAGGTGTGGCTCTACAATAAAGAGAGGAATAGCCTTCTCATCGTGCCCTAAAATAACAGTTGAAGGCTGCTTGGAAAAAAATGAACGCAGCTAAAATTTTATTATTGTGACAATTACACCTTTTTTTTTCTTTTGCACTTAGTACCCAATCAAGGGGCTTCATTTTTGCTTTAAAACATTGTAATAGGAATATAATGCCCATTTGCAGTGGTATTGATGGTAATTAAACTACAACTTGGATCAAAAAGACTGTTAATCCAAACACCAGTTAGAATTTGGTTCTTTGGTTAGAGGTCATGGTTTCATGGGAAATCCCAGTGAATTGGCCTACCTAGTACCATGTTTTATTCAGCCTGCTAGTTTATTGCATTGCCTGGGATCTTTACAAGCTTATAAGTAGTCATCCAAAGTACAATTGGTCTCTGTTCATGTGGACCAACTGAGGAAGAAGAGCTAGAAGTAGGAGTGGGAAGTGGCATGTGTGACTGCTTGCCTCCATGAACACAACTGCCTCCTTTGCCATGAGACCAGAACTGGATGGTGCCCAACTACCGTTACTAAGCATTTTGATCAAAGAGTCTATAGACAAATTCTGATCCAAGAGGGAAAATACAAAATAGAGTTTCAACTTCCTGTGGAATCCAGATTTTCTGGAGCTGTGAAGCCAATAAGTAACCCAAAGCTTCACCATGAGACAGTCTTTAAACCTTAAACCCACAACACCTGAAGTCTTCTTAAATCCAGACCACTAGTTTAATTTAACTAGTAAAATAAACGAATATGCCTTGAGTATCGTGCTGTTTTAAAAACTTTATGGGATCTTGAAAGTTTGGATAGGAAACTCGGGACAGTGAGTTTTTGTTAATGGAAAAGAAACAACTTGGAAAAGGAATATGAGAATGGGTGCACACTCAAAGAATGTAATCAGTATCGTTGAGTTGCACACCTCGGAGCTGTTGAACTGGTTCTCCTGTGTATGTGCTCAACAACAACGGGATAACTATAAGAACAAGAATGTTGAATGCTAACCATCTGTACTTACAGATAGTTCTCTGTATTTGAGCGGATGGAGGAAATCCAGAGAACCACGGGACCAGACACCTGTGCTATAATGGGCTTCACAAATTTCATGGAGAAATGAAATGAAAAGATAATGGAACTTTTCCATAAAGTTTTTGAAGCTCCTTCATATTTCTTAACCCCAAAGGGGACATTGGTTATCTTAATGGCCCTTCTCCTTTCATGTTTCTTAGTTACAGGAGTACCTTTGGCCTTGTTCTTCTTGCAACAGTCCATGTTTAATCCAGAGCTTTAGTCCGTTGTTGCTCATTTTCACTCTGCTGCCTTGGAAGACTGAACATATTCAGCCATGCCTTGGAGATATCCTAAAGTGATAATACTCCATTCGAGACGGGTTTTTCCTTTCCTGAAGCTATTGCTTCTACCCCAGAATGCTTTTTGTAAGGTTTCTAAAATGGTTTAAAAGAACAGCATGTGGAAATTTGGTTTTCAATCATCCAGAATTAAGATAAAATTTTCTAAGCTAAATTGATAGAATATTTTTTTAAGTCTTAGTGTTTTCTTTGCATGCATTAGATAAAAAATATAACAATTTCTTTGTTTCTTTTTCCCCCTAGTTGTTATACCACATTTGCATAAGTTAGCCTTGGTGAACAATTTACAGATTGTGGACTCTAAAAGACTGGATATTGCTACCCATCTTTTTGAAGCCTACAGCGCACTTTCCTGTTGTTGTATCCTTGCTGACTAATGTGTATATGTGTTTACATAGCAGGTTTACAGTGGACTTCAATGTTAAAGAGTGAGAAATCGAATTTTTGTGGTCAGTGCCTTTAAGTAAAGATTGTGGGAAAATTAAAATGAGGATTGATTTCACACACACCCCTTGTTCTAGCCATCACATAATTTGAAAAAAAAAAGTTTTTAAATCCTCCATGCCTATGTGTCCAATCATTTTGAAAATATTGGTGGAATTCTTAGATATGTTACCTATATTAATAATAGAACCAGGCAAGAAATAGAAGGCAGAATGAGTTACAGCTCAAACATCTGTTAATCAAGGTGAGATTTTTAAATGAATGTTTAACCATCAGTGTTCAATATAGTACTATGAATATTTCTTACCAAGAAAACACACATTGGAAAAGCAAAAGCCATACTAAAGTATCCTCATTAATGACAAAGCTTAGAGAGGATCCTCTGGGCCTGTATCAACGACTCTATTTTAGAAGTGAAGGGATTAAGGTTTGAAGACATTAATGACTTCACTGTTTTTATAGCTAAAGAAACGTGGACTAGAACAAAAATGTTAGCCAGTTAAATGTTCTCTTTACAATCCTGTGGTTCCCTAGAAGAATAAAAGTAAGAAAGGGAGTAGAGATAAAGATGAGCAGTGACCATTATTCTCTTCCCTCCGTGCAAAATGAACCCCAACTTAAAAAACACCAGGAGAAATATATGATAAAAAAGAATGAAACGTTAAAAATTATAAAACTACATGCAAGACTGTATACCAGATAGTTATGACATTAAAAAGTAATGATGGGGAAAGGTTCTTAGTGATTGATATTTATGGTTTCACATTGGTATATACCATTTCAGAATAGTAAGCAGGGTTAACAGGTCATCTTTAATAAGGAAGTTTACAAAATTTACAAAATTCTGTTGACACTTTCTGGCACTGGAGCTTGAGTAAACTGCAAATGGAAGAACGTTATTTTTTATTTAGAATAAATCGTATAGAACAAAAACGGTAGGGTTATATGATAAGAGCTATTTGATCTTCTTGACATAGTAAAATTTGAGATTGTATGCATACATAGAGTTGAACATTTTATTTTAGGAATCTACTACAAATTACCTAATCAAATGGACAATATTATAAAATAGATTATAAATTAGGCAGATGCAACATGTTTTAATTGTATACTTAAGTTATCCATACATCTGTATGTTTTAGCTTCACAAAAAGCAGAACTTACGATCTGATTTTCTTGTCTTTTTTTTTTTTTTAATTTATCCTCTTGGCATTTTCAACTTGGAGAAAATGAGGAAGCAAAAAGAAAAAAGGAACTGATACTCTGAATTATCAAGGAAGAACTCTTTGGTAATGGGGAAGTGACAGGACCCTTGTAAGAAAGTCATAATGACAATTTGAAGTTTGCATCTCAAAGAAAAAAGCATTGGTGTATTTATACATGTTCCCTAGACTTTAGGGAAATAGATGTTTAAAACTTGAGCAACAAGTTACGTATAACCTTACATAGCAGGAGAGGTTTTAAAAAATAGGTCTCACAAGTGTGAAAGTCAGAAGGTCTTAAGTTTTAAGTTTTGTAAAATAATATCATCCAAGTGTGAAGACAATGGTTTCTAAGGAAGCCATTATACTGAAGGAGTAGGTTTGTGTGTTTAGATGGGCACAGACAAAAGTATGCACAAATACAGTAAGGGGAAGAGTTGTCTTAGCAAACAGCCCTTGCTGAAGTACTGAAAGTGTTAGTTTGACATGAGTCACAACTCAGACATGAGTCAACAGAGTGGTCACCCTTCTAAAACTGCCCATCATTGAAGGAGGAGGTAGAGATGATTCCTCATGGCAGAAAGGACTCAAGATCCTAAGGTCTCCTCCCAATTTTAGGAGTCTCGGATTCCATGGGGAAAGTAGGACCAAACAGTGAGTCGTGAAAGAGAATGACCTTCCTCATCTCTCCAAATAGGGGCATCATCAACTTCCCAGTCCATGTCCATATTTCCCTAGGTCAGACCTTTAACTACTAATACAAAGGTCACTCACAATGGTACTTTTTGGTACTTCTCCAAAATCTAAACAAAACTATTAGGGTGAAACTTTCGTTGGGATTGATTCAGCTAAACGATAACTGTATTTGCTACTGTATGCCAGCATATTTCTAGTACTGTCTATCTCATTAATAAGCCCTGGTGCTGCAGTGGTTCAGGAGATGAAGGGTGTATAAATAGCAAACAGACTGCTCTATGAAGACGGTAAGCCAAGATAGAGAGTTTGGAGATCACCTACATTGTGTCTATGAAATGGAATCAACGCGTTGGCAAGAGGCTTGATTTTTTTAATTCATGTTATTAATTATAGATGATTTGTTTATAGTTTTTACTAAAACTTGTCAAGACAGTTATTATATATCAGTTATTTTTTTTCTGAATGAAACTCATTATAATTCATTCCCCAGAAAAATACTGATTTAATATCAGTTATAAAGGAACTCAGGTGCTCTGGTGGCTTAGTGGTTACAAGTTGGACTGCTAACGTAAGATCTGCTCCTGTAAGGAGTTGCAGTCTTGGAAACCCACAGGGCAGTTCTGTCCTGCCCTGTAGGGTCTCTGTGAGTTGGCATCGGCTTGATGGCGGTGAGTTTGGTTTTGGTTTCATCAAGGAACTCATTTACTGGCATTTTTCTTTTTAATGTGGCATAATATTGAATAAGCTATTTTATCAGTTGTTATCATAACTTTGATCAGATGAGATTGTGCCACAATTGATGTGCACAAACAAGGTGAAAATTGTTACCTTGAGAAATGCATCTGCTTTAATTCCTTTGAATGTCAAGGTAACCAAGTGAAATTCAAAGATGACCAGGAAGTATAATCAGCACTAAACTTAAGTAAGCCAGCAAAAAGCTCTCTTAGCCATTCAGTGAGGAGGACCAATGGGTGGTCAGTTTGGAAAGGTGATTAAAGCAAGAAATCAGGGAAATCATATATAACTAAGACATTTTTAAGTCAAAATCACAAGTATGTTTTCCTTTTGCTAGTCTTTTTAAGTGAAACCAAGCATTTTTTTCATGTGAGTCTGCTAATTGGAGGTAAAGCATCCTCTTTCTTAAATAGAACACCTCATCTGTTAGGCAGTTGCCTTTGATTTTCAGTTTAGCTTTCTTTCAAAAGGATCCAGTAACACTTTATACTGTGTAGAATTATCCTCTATTTTTAAAAAAATTTTCCCAGTCATTTACAGCTGTCTCATATATACATAATGCAACAGCTCCAAAACATTTGTGTTTATTCCTTTATCCAAAACTTTCAACTTAGTTTATTGAAATAGAAATACTCTTTTCTGACTTTCTACTCATTTAAATATTCATTTAAGTTGCATGACTTAAATATGATTTCCACACTTTATATGTTTCTGTAAGATGGACTTAATGTATATAAAATTGACGGTTAGGAATTGACTCTTGATAATAACCAACTTCACAGTGGGAGCCCTACTTCAGGGAAGCTGATTGGCTGCCAACAATCAGGCTACCATAACTTCAATTAGAGAGCTTCCTGTGTATAATATCTAATCTATATTGTTTTATTGGATATAACAGCTGTTGGCCAGTTGTGGTTTAATTCCCTTAACTACTTCGTCTCAAGTCATTTCAGAAGACTTAATGGTTAACCACTTTTTACCGGGCCTCCGATGTTTACGAACTGACATGGAGCAGCTCTCTCCAGAGCATGAGGTGAGCTGCGGCGATCACGGGACCCCACGTCCTGCTGGATTAGTCTTCATGTGGCACCTGGCTGTGACCTGCTTAATTTTAAAAAATCTAGTTCCGTGTCATTTTGTAAATTTATTAGAAAATCTTGAGGGACTTGATTCACTCAGTTTAATTTTCTGAAGTAGGGCTAACACTGTACTTCACTGAGCAGTATGAGAATTTAATAGAATGTACATAAAGGGCTTTGTAACAAAAACGCTATCAATTGTTAATGATCGCTGACCATCAACTTTCTCAGAAAGAACATTTCTATTATCTTTCTCTATTTCCTCATCACTCTTTCCTCCAACTCCATTTCTCATCCTACTTCACTCCCTGTGTCTTACCAAAGCTTGTTTCATCATTTATCCCCAACCCTCTCTCTTGAACCTGTTTCCTACCATGGTCAGGTTGCTTACCCCCCACCCCCACCGGCCAAGCAAAGTGAAAACAGCTCTTCTCCATGCTTCCCTCAGACCGCCCCTTTCCTGTTCTGAACCCTGCCTGTTGGTGCATGAGTCAGTGACACCACACTACTGCAGTGCACCTGCCACTCTTCAGGCCCCTGAGCACCAGGGGTCACCCAGAAGAGGTGCTTTTCAGATGGAGTAGTCTCGGGTCTCCCTGAAGCATTTTTCTGTTTAACACTTCCCCTGGCTCTGGGACACACTTTCTTCCTACTCTCCAGTCACCACCCCGCCTCCCTCACATCACCTTTAAACAGTGATTTCCTTTTCCATTCGTTAGAATTGCTCCCTGTACTTGCCGTCCATATATATGTTGATGACTCACTCTCCCTGACCTCTTTCTTAAGCTTCAGAACTAATCTCTAATGGCCTCCTGTATATTCCCTCTGAATGCCCTGGAGATACTTTATCAGATTCAACTTGGCCAGTCTGCCCCACTTAACCAACCTGTTGTTGTTATTCTCTTCCCACCCCAATTTTGGCAAGTGGCACATACATTTTTGCCCAACCAGAATACTTCATTTTTCACATATGATACCATTATGTGCCACAGAGGCAAGGGAAGCACAGTTTGTAGAAACTATGGGCCTTATTTGCATAAAATACAGCAAATGATGACCTCAGAGCCTTTGATTAGGCTCTTCTGGTTCCTAAATCAGGGTTTCAATCAGGTTCATTCATGTTCAGAGAAATACTGCATCCAATATGTCTGTTCAGCATCAGCTCAAAGCCCTGCCTAAAACCATTGCTCACAGCTTCATCTTTCTCCCAACCGGTAACTGGTGGCTTCAAACCACTGAGCTTCTTTCTAGTTGGCAGCCCAACCCTTAACCCGCTGTGCCTCCAAGACTTCCTTAACCAACCCTCCCTCCTTTTCCTCCTAATGTGTTATCTCAGAAATCCTGCGGACACGTGGAGCAGAGCACTTTACCAGGAATGTGTGTATGGCCTTGTGTGTGTGTGCGCGCATTAAGTGTGTAGATGTATATTTTGACATTAGATGCTGGGGAAACTGAAGGAGAATAAGAAATCCGTCTTAAAGGCTGTCAATTTCTACACTCAGTCTAGGGATCGAATCTGAGTCCTTTTAACAAAGTAACTGCCAGAATGTAACCCTAATTGAGGGAATATTAATTGAGGGGAAATTTAGATTAAACTGTAGTCTGTCACGATGTAAACTGTACTTCACTCAAGTAATTTTCTTTCAACCAGGTGATCTTGAGTTCTATGATAAAAGAATGTGAACAAAAAGTAGAGAACAAGACGGTCCAAGAGCCTCAAGGGTAAGACTAGAATCCTTTTTGTAAGGCTGCCAGCTGCCTCCACTTCTCTCTGGGTCTGTGCTGTGCATGGGTTTTGAGTCTGTGTTCCTTTGGAGTCCTTTATTTAGAATATAAATAGATGATAATGTCAATGTTTCTCAAATGCTCATGCATAAAACCTTTAATTTGTATTTACCTAAGATTATTTCCATTGGGTGATCTTTTTTAGGGAGGGGGGAAATTGCTCATTTTTATAAGCAGACTTTTTTACCCCCTGCTCTTCTATGTTCTTACTGATTCCTTGAGACTATGAAGATTTTAACTTTTATTGTTATAACAATTTTTAAGTTAATGGAATAATGTGACTTGCCATGTCCTCACCATTTGTCTACAACAATTATCAACTGATAGTCACTTCCATTTAATCCGTGCACTACCTACTTCCCCTACCATTGTTTGGTGTGTTACTCGAAGATCATTACTATTTTAAAAACATAATCATAACATCACACCAAAATACAGTAAATCTTTTAATATCGTCAGCTATCTGGTTCACATTCAGATTTCAAGTTACCCCATAAATGTGTAGTGACTTGTTTGTCTTTTTTCTTTTTTAATCGTTTTATTAGGGGCTCATACAACTCTTATCACAATCCATACATACATCAATTGTGTAAAGCACATTTGTACATTCATTGCCCTCATCAATCTCAAAACATTTACTCTCCACCTAAGCCCCTGGCATCAGCTCCTCATTTTTTACCCTCCCCGCTCCCCCCTCCCTCATGAACCCTTGATAATTTATAAATTATTATTTTGTCCTATCTTGCCCTTCACCCACTTTTCTGTTGTCTGTCCCCCAGGGAGGAGGTTATATAGATCCCTGTAATCGGTTCCCCCTTTCCAACCCACGCTCCTCCACCCTCCCAGTATCGCCACTCACACCACTGGTCCTGAAGGGATCATCCGCCCTGGATTCCCTGTGTTTCCAGTTCCTGTCTGTACCAGTGTACATCCTCTAGTCTAGCCATATTTGTAAGGTAGAATTGAGATTGTAGTGGGAAGGCGGGGAGAAGCATTTAGGAACTAGAGGAAAGTTGTATGTTTCATTGTTGCTACATCGCACCCTGACTGGCTCGTCTCCTGCTCGAGACCCATCTGTAAGGTTGTTTGTCTTTTTTCTTTGCTGGTTTTTAAAAAAATCAGAATGCAAATGAGGTCTACACATTGTTGATAGGAGGAAGCTTCAAAAAGGTCATGTCATGGAAAAATGGAATGAAAAGATCATGGAATTCTTCAGGAACTTTTGGGGAGCCCCTCATCATATGTCTCTTAAGTCTCTTGGGGTTTTAAGTTTCCCTCATCTCTTTTGTTTCTCCACAGTTTCCATTTTGAAAACAGTAGGGCACTTGTTTTCTAGATTTCCACATGGTCCAAATGGTGCTGATTGCATCCTCCTGTGCCCTGTAATGTGCTCCTCCATACTGCCTACAAACTGGGGGTTGGGTCTAGCTCTAAAGACAGAATCAGATTTACATTTGCTCGTTTGGTTTTGTCTGGCAAGACTCCTTCCTAAGAAAACATGTGCCTTCATCATGAGACAGATAAATGGTTTTTTTCGTCTTGGTGAAGTTAACAGCCAACATGGGTCAGTACTCAGATCCACTAACTCACTAACTCACTCAAGGTTACAAGTGATATCAATCTCCCATTAACAATTAAGGTACTTCCGGAAGCAAAGAGCAAGTTCCCCATAACTGCTTGACAAAAGATTAATCATCTAAATCATACAAAAATTATACAAGAAATCTAGCCATTTAAATGCTAGATTCTTTCTCTTTATTTACTAGTTTCCAAAATAACAAAATTGCCTAACCCTCTGATGGTGATCAGTTAGATGTTTATCTGGTTTTGTTTTTGTTTTCTGTTTTTTAAGTACCATCCTAACCTTATAGTTAAGCACATTTTTATATACTTCAGTATGCCGCATTTGTTATCTGTATCTGATGATATTTGGTCAAACCTTTCAAGTGGGTTCCTAAGCTGACCCCTGGAATGAGAGGGCCATCCGTGTAAGCTGTCGAGAATTCCTTTTCAGGACAGAAAGACAAGAGGAGACAGTGTGAACTTGGTGGCTAAGTTGTTTCCAGGGATTAAAACGGCACCTCTCTATCAGTATTTACATTTGTAGGATTATTAACGTGGGTTTTACCTTTTTTGCTTATTTTCAGCACACTGGAAATGTAACTTTTATAAACATTTTAGGTTGATCCAGTAAAAAGTTATCCTAATAAGCCTCAGATAAAAGTAGGGGAAAATGGCTAAGATACGATACAGTGTCTATTCCTCTTCAACATATTTATTTTTATAGTAAAAACCCATGTAGGAAAACATTACTCATGATACCTGCTGGTATACAGTACAAGCAGATAAAAGAGGAAAAGCAGAAGCATCAGCATGCTCACCGCCTTGTCAGGGCTTAACACAACAGCCCCTTGGAAAAATGCCCCCCAAAATGACACAGGCAGTATGCACTGCAGGTATCGGGCCATTTGATAGAATTTCCCACTTGGAAGAAACATGTGGACTGGTTTGTGCCACACCCTGTGCCAGGGATCAGAGATCACTAAGACTAAATGATAGTGTTGTCATCTCTGGTAACTAGCAGTGGAGTACGTATAGATAGTATATACAAAGACATCTGCAGTCAGGTTGTAGACAGCCTAGTGACCCGTGTCTAAATGACACTGGTTCTGTAAATAGAGAATAGCCCCCTCTTCAACAGGGGCCAACAGAAGAGGCTGATGGAGAGCTTTAGGTACCTTAGTTCTACCATTCATGTGTTTTCTACAAATCTGTGTACCTAAGTTTCCCTCTACCAGGAATACTCTTGGCTTAGCTAGTTCCTATTCAACCTTCAGGTCAAAGTGTAGGTGTCATCTCTTGGAAACCTTCCTCGAGTCTATTCTTAACTAGAAGCACAAGAGGAAAGCCTTGAGTAGTAGAGGGTGGGCTGGAGGAAAAGGTGAGAACAGGTGCAGGTGAAGTTTCCATATCAGTACAGGGCCCTGCTCATTGCTGAGGGGGAGTTTGAAGCACTGGGATTTCATCCTTGAGGGTTCAAAGCAGTGGCTTTGAACTACAGGTTATGGCCCACTAGAGCATGTCATTAAATCAGCTCCATTTGTTGTGATAGGCATTTTCCCCCAAGAAATACAGTTCACTAAATAATAAAAGTACATCCCCTGTTCCCTTTGAAACCGGTGCCCATTGTCTGTGGCTGCATGGTGACTGCATCTCTTACTGTGGGGCTGTATCAGAAAGCCTGAAGAGCCTTGATCTGCAAATAAAAGAATGTGCAGAAACATGTTGGTATTCAACTTGTACTAAGTTTCACTGAGCCCTTATCTGGGCTGTTCACCAAGATGAGCACGAGCAAGCACATCCCCTCCCTCAGGGTGTTACGGGGAGAGCAAATACAAACTCAGGATAAAGGGCAAAGTAGTGCCAACATTTCTAAGGAAGCAGGATAAGGAATCTTCCAGTATAAACTTGGTCAGAGAGGCAGAAAGAACGAGGAAATGGATTATATGCAGCACTGTCAGCCCTTGAACAGAAGGGCAGAATGGTAGATCGTGACGAGCTGTAAGGAAGCTAGCGCATGGGGCGAGGAGAATGATCCAGTGCAGCCCATGAAGGTATAGGTGGCTGTGTGCATTCGAGTCGATTCTGACGCGCAGTGACCCTATAGGACAGAGCATAACGGCAGCATATATGGTTTCCGAGGTTGCCATCTCTACTAGAAGGAGCCCTGATGGAACAGTGTTTGGTTGATACCCAAAGAGTGCTCCTCCAACCCACCCGCCAGCCACTCCATGGAAGAAAGAAAGATGTGGCAGTCTGCTTCCATAAAGAATTGACCTGGTGGCAACGGGTTTGGGTTTTTGCGGTTATAGCTTGGTGCAAGCCAACTAGTGGGAGCAGCTGATGGGGCTGAACTGCTGAGCTTCCTGTCTGATCGATGAACTCACCACTGTGCCACCAGGGCTCCTTAAAGGTAGGTCAGCACCAAATACTGAAGAACTTTGTGTAGTATGTGAGCGGTTTGAGCTCTAGCCTATTGGCCCAGGGATGGCGAACTTTTTGACAAAAGTAGTAAATTTGGGGGGGGGACAAAATGATTTATGAATTATGAAGGGTTCATGAGGGAAAGGGAGTGGGGGGAAATGAGGAGCCGATATTAAGGGCTCAAGTAGAAGGCAAATGTTTTAAGAATGATGAGGGCTACAAATGTGCTTGACACAATGGATGTATGCATGGATTGTGACAAGAATTGTACGAGCCCCAACAAAATGATTTAAAAAACAAAACATTGGTGGGAGTGGAAAATAACATGAAAGGGACCCCGGTGGAGGTCAGCAGTCTGAACCCATCAACTGCCCCCCTGCGGGACAGAGACGAGGCCTTCTGCTCCCGTAGACTCAGCCTCAGAGACCCCCAGGGGCAGCGGGCAGTTCTGCCGCATCCTAGAACGTCACTATGAGTAGGCATCGCATTGAGGGCAGTGAGTGTGGGCTTGTGGGAGGGCCACCAATGATATCCCAAGCTAAGCTCAGTGAGTGTGGGGCCACGGGCCAAGGAGGTAGTGGCCGGTCACAGACCAAGAGGCTACCCAGGAAGAGTGAGGCCTTCGTACCCTAGTATTTACAACACAACAGCAGGGTAAGCAAGCCTTTAAGTTATTTTTAGGTAAAGAAAAACAGACTTTTCCAAGGGCAACAGGTGAACTGAAGGTCAGAAGGAAGCAGGCGGGGGCTCCTCACAGCTCTTGCCCCACCCCCAGGTGCCATGGGAGGGGTCTCTGGAAGGAGAAGGCCCTGCCGCCGGACCTCGGCAGCCACAGGTGCGGCAGAGCGTTCCTTCCACAGGTGGGGCAAGCGAGGCAGCAGCTCTCCCTTGGTCACTGGATTGGCTTGTGTGTATGATTCCATTTGTAGTGGATTGGCATGATTAATGCTTGGGGGCAGGGGGATTAATTTAAGGACTGAGTAGCTTATTCGGTTGGATTCTGAACCACAATCAGGAAATAGTCTTTATCTGGTGCAACCATAATTTCATTTTTCTTGGAACGAATTCGCAAGAAGGTGAGGTCATTCTGGGGGTCGATTTCTCGCACAGTGCTCCTTGCCTTCAAGATGAAGCTGTGCATGAGGTTGGCATACTGTGTGGTGGTGGGATTGTCCATGGTGCTTTTGATGGGAATGCCTTCCATGGTCACCACAATGATCCCCTGCACACCCTCCTGACGCTGCAGTCGCTTCCACCTGACGCTGCAGTCGCTTCTTCCACCTCTGCCATCTCGAAGCGATCCTGCAGCTCCAGGTAGTAAATCTTAAGGTTTGCTGGCCACTGCCTGTCAGGACAACTCAGGCAAATGGCCTCTGACAGTCTGGAAACAGAGGGGCCTGACCGAGTTCCAGTAGAACTTTATTGACAAACCAAACAGGCCTGGATTTAACTTACATCCCTTAGTTTGCTGTGACCTTTCCGGATTTGGGTTTTCAAATGTTACAGTCCATCAGAGCTACCTGGAAATCACTGGACCACATCCTCACAGAGTTTCTGGTTCAGAAGGCTTGGTTGGGGTGGAGTCTGAGAATTTGCATATCTAGTAAATTCCCAATGATGCTGATGAACAGAGGATTAGGTGGTGAGTATTGGCAATGAAAATAAAAGAAAATGATTGAAGATGCTTCATAGAGTGAAATCACAGGATTTGATGCCTGACTTGAAAAGTAATGGAGAGGGAGCATTCCACCACTCAGAACAGCAGAACGTGCTGGAACTGTTGGCCAAATAACAATTTAAATGGGTTGTTATTTCAAAAGCTTGCATGTGAAGAAAAAGTTACAGAAAGAGGTTGTAGTTTAATCCGTATTTTCAAAGTCATCTTTATGTATTCAATATTTGAAAGTTGAAGGAATGGATAAATTGGCACTTAAAGAGCCAAGAACGAAAGAGGGAACCGATTACAAGGAACTATATGTGACCTCCTCCCTGGGGGACAGACAACCGAAAAGTGGGTGAAGGGAGACGTCGGACAGGGC